TCCTTGCCGAGCTCAGAGCCCGGTGCAGGGTTCCATCTCACAACCCTGAGATCATGACCTGAGCTGAAACCAAGAGTCGGACGCTTAACTGACTGCGCCACCGAGGGGCCCAGAGAATTAAGTATTATATTTAAAATTCTTACCAGGTAAGAGAAGAAGCTTAATAAAGGATTGAAATCAGCATCTTCACTGCTCCTGGGTGCGGCCCAGAGCTGAATCGGGTGCAGCTTCTTCCTTCACGGGGCTCATAGTTTAGGGAGAGATGGGGACATAAGCACACACTGTTGGTTAACTAGGGTAAGTGCAATGGTTGTGGTGAGCTTCGGGTGCTGCGTTAGGCTGGGGGTTGGGGAAAGAGTCTTCCTGCTAGAGAAGCCACCTCAGCTGGGCTTTAAAGAAGCACCGGGCGCTAGCTGGGGTGGGAAGGAAGCAGTGGGTGTGAGGGTTGTTCCAGGCAGAGCGGGCGGCTTGGGTCTGACATTGTCAGCGGGTAACCTTCCAGGCCAGCCATGGGGCTGGAGGGGAGGCCAGGCACTCCCTACAGTACTGTGTGTCTGGGATGAGCAGCTTGGCCTTTGTCCTTCTGGTAGTGGGTGTCATGAAGGTTTTGTTTGTTTTTCAACTTTTTTCCACAGGAAGTAGCAAAAATAGTAGAGTTCCCTTTACGCAGCTTCCTCTGACGATGGTATATAGTGGTATCAAAACCAGAAAATCGGTATTGGTACGTTAAGAGCCTATAGAGCTCACTCAGTTTTCACCTTAAAAAAAACCAACTGCATTCATCTGTGTGTGTGCATGTGTGCACCTGGAAGGGTTTTGAGCAGGGAGTGACATTGATATATGTGTTGGACAAATATCCTCGACCACCAAATGGCAGCAGATTGGAGGGGGCTTGTTGGAGGCTGTTGGCAGGAGAAGCTGAAGGCCTGGGAGCTGTGGTCATGGAGATGGTGAGAGGAGCTGCAGAGTGGAGAACTGTTTCAGAGGTAAAGGTGGAAGGAACTGGGGACTGAGAACAGGATGGCAGTTGGAGCTATGACTGGAGTTTGGGGGAAATGGAGGAGGAGTAGGAGCAGGGGAGATGCTGCTGAGTTAAGTTTGGAATACGGTTAAGTTGGAGGAGCACCCAACTGGGATGGGCACCAGGGAGGACTTTCTGGGCACGGAGGCATCCGAGCTGGGTCTTAACAGATGAATAGGAGTTGGGTAGGTACGTGTGTGGGGAGAGGGCATTCCAGGTAGAGGGCTCAGGATTTGGAAAAGCATGGAGGTCCTAAGTAGCCTGTGTGTTGGACATCTAGGTAGCACCACTTAGAGGGTAAGAGACATAAATATGAAATATTGGGGAGGGGGCAAGCCTGGCGGGAGGAACAGATTTGTGAGTCATCAACATGACTCATGAGATCATGAAATGTAAGAGCTCATCTGGGGAGAGCATGCAGAGTGAGGAGAGCAGGAGCACTGTCCCTTAAACGGAAGCTCGGACACATTGGTCTTGAGACCTGGGCAGAGGAAGAAGAGCTCCTAACAGACAGAACAGGACCGATCAGAGAGGTGTGAGAAGGACCTGGCAGTTGCAGCCAAGAGTCCCGAAAAAGGCGAGTGACAAACTGTCCCTCTGCTGGACTCAGCAACCAGGAGGTCCCTGGGATGGGGAGGACCCTTGGCAAGCACCTTTGGTGGAGTGGAAGGGGGGGCTGCTGAGATTTGGGGAGTGGAGTATGTAGAGATGGAGTATGGAGTATGGGGAGAATGGAGTATGGGGAGGTGAGGATGTAGAGACTGTAGACTACTATTTCACAAAATGTGACCAAGAAAAGGAGGAGAGGTTGTGCATTATTCAGAAGGGGATTCAGGATCAGGGGAGGTAATTATTTGGGGGTGGGGGAGACTTGAGCATGATGACAGGTTGAGGGGTCCTAGGGCTGGGTCTGAATGCTTAATGGGCAACAGAGATGTGTGTGGGCTCCGGGGCCAGGCTGATGGGATTTAAATCCGAGCTCTACCATGTGCCAGCTGTGTGACCTTGGGGGAGTCACGTAACTTCTCTGTGCCTCTCTTTTCTCCTCTGCAAAATTCGGATGATAGGCTATCTCACAGGGTGTGCTGGAAGGTATTATGTATAAAGAGATCATGACATGCCAAAAAGAGAGAGAGATCATGCTAGCCCCTGGCACGTGGTAACCCCTCAGCAAATGTTACTATTATTATTACTTGATTATTTCAGTGTCCATTTTTTTTTTATTTATTCAACTCATTCATTCTTATCTATATAATGCCTGGGTTGGATGAATTGATTCATTGATCCATTTCTTTTACCACCATTAATGGGGCACTTGCTCTGCACCGAGGACCTAGGCCTAGGCGTTGAGATTTTGAAGAGGCTGGTGCAGTCCCTTCCTGGTCTGATGAAGATCTGAATCTCTGAAATTCTGTCATCATCAAACTCTTCTCAAAAGTGAGGGAAAAGGGGCGCCTGGGTGGTCGGTTAAGCGGCTGCCTTCAGCTCAGGTCATGATCCCAGGATCCTGGGATCAAGCCCTGCGTTAGGCTCCCTGCTCGGCGGGAAGCCTGCTTCTCCCTCTCCCACTCCCCCTGCTTCTCCCTCTCCCACTCCCCTTGCTTGTGTTCCTGTTCTCGCTATCTCTCTCTCTGTCAAATAAATAAATAAAATCTTAAAAAAAAAAAAGTGAGTGAAAAAAAAGAAAAAGAAAAAATATGCTTCCATCATGGTTTTCAGGTCAGTGGTTTGGTCTTTCTCCTGGAAGAACAGCCCATGGACACTTGGGCAGACCTGGAAACACTGGGTTTGAAAGCAGGCTTCTGGTTCCCACTTGGTCTTTGCCCTACCAGGTTGGCCTCAAGTCAGTCATCTCATTTTGTATTTTAGATTACAAAGCAACTTGTGTACTCTGTGCAAAAAATCCAAATCATGCTGAGGTCCATCAAGCAGAAAGTGTTCTGTGTCCTGTTGCCCCTTGGCAGATCCCAGTCCCCAGAGAGAACCAGTTAGATTGGAGACTGCCTTTCAAACGTCCTCTTGATTAAACACACACTGCACACAGATGTGATCATACAACACAGAATGTTGTGGAATCTGCTGCTTTTTTTCTTTCTCAACTATGAATGGTGGCATCTCCATGACAAGGCATGTAACAGATTGAATAGCTGCACTGCATTCCATGGTAGGGTATACTACACCTCAGTGGATTAATTCTCTACTGGCGGACATTAAAGTTCCTTCTCGTTTTTCACTCTTAAAAAAAAATACATCCTGTACAAATACAACTGAGTGCTTGTACAAGGATTTTAGTAGATTAAAATCTTGGAAGTGAAGTTTCTGGGTCAACAGGAAAGGGCGCTTTATCATGTTGAAGGCTTTAGGCTGCAAGTAACAGAATTCCTACCTCAAAACGGGAGTTCATTATAATTTCACGTGATAAATGAGGCAGAGCAGTTCCAGGATCAGCTACTTTAGGGGTCAGACACATTCAGTGGCTTTAGTCTGTCTTTCTGCCCCGCCATCCCCAGTGCGTGCGTCGCACTACACGCTGTCATACAGCAGCAGAAAAGGAATCACGGCTTCGGTCCTTTTTTAAGGGTGAAGAAAACCGTTCCCAGGATCCCCTTGGCAGACTTCCCCTCCTCTCTCATTGGCCGGGATGATGTCATGTGCCCTTGCCTAATCCAATCACCGGCAAGTAAAAGGACCATTATGATTGGCTGAGTCCAGTGCAGGTTCAGCTGAATGACTGGGAAAGGAACGGTCTGGGGGCTGTGCTGGGGAGGATGAAGGGCAACCGGCTGCCTTGCTCTTTTTGGTGGATGTTGCCACACTGCTTCACGGAAATGCTGCCAGTCCACGCTCTCAGTGTACTTGTGGCATTGGAGAGTGCCCATGCCTCTGCCTGCATCAACCAGGCTGGCCAATCACAGTAGTCTCAGAGGGGCCAAGGGGCGTCTTGTTGTTTATCCTGTGGTTCTTTTATCAGTGAGTTCGAGTGTCTTTTCTTCATGACTCGTAGTTCCTGTGGATTTCCCGATTATGTTCTTTGCGCCTCTTTTTAAGTAATCATAATCATCCTACAATAGTCATGGTTGATATTAAGTGCTTATTCCAGGCCTGGCATCTCATTGAATCTTCACAACAACCCTGTAAAGAAGGTGTTAGTATTCTTGGGGCGCCTGGGTGGCTCTGTGGGTTAGGCATGGGACTCTTGATTTCGGCTGGGGTCATGATCTCGGGGTGGTGGGATCAAGCCTGGAGTTGGGACTTTGACTTTGACTCCCCACTCTGCTTCTCCCTCTGCTCCTCCCCCATTCACACGCTCAGGCCCACTCTCACTCTCTATCAAGTAAATAAATAAAGTCTTTTAAAAAGAAGAAGGAGGTACCAGTGTCCCTGTTTTAGAGATGAGGGAAGTGAAACACGAGAAATGAAGCAACTTGTGTACAGTTACTAAGGAACAGGGCTTCGATTTGAACTTGCTTGTGAACCTGGGTATGTGGTCCCACCCTGTGCTGCCATGCTGAGGGAATTGTTTCTTGCTGGTTCCTTAATTCATGGCTATATTTCTGGGAAGAGCCATTTGAGATTTGAGGTAAGTCTAGCTTGAAATTCCCAAATTATAAGAACATGGACCTAGAGTAGGGAAGAGGGGACTGCCCCGCCTGGCAGCGGGATGCTGGGGGAGTTTTGGGCCTGTTTTCTCCTTGGACTTTTTTCCTTCCTTCCTTTCTTCTTCTTCTTCTTCTTTTTTTTTTCCTTGCACTTTTTTCTTTAAAAAGAGATAAGATTTGTTTGATTTACATGCTTCTTGCTCTTCCACCAGGTGCAGTGACCAAACATGCCCCACCCCTATCCTCACCCTCAAGGAACTCATCTCCCTCTTCAGCTGAGAACAAATGCTCTTTTAACCACTGTCTCAGTCTGTTGCGGATGCTATAAGAAACTACCATAGACTGAGTGGCTTAAACAACAGAAATTTATTTTCTCACAGGTCAGGAAGCTAGAAGGCCGGGATTAAGGTGCTGGCAGATTCAGTTTCTGATGGGAACTCTCTTCCTGGCTTGCAGATGGCTGCCTTCTCGTTGTGGCCTCATCTGACCTTTCCTCCCTGTGTGGGCAGGGAGAGAGGGAGAGCTCTCTGGCGTCTCTTCTAATAAAAACACTAACCCTGGGATGCCTGGGTGGTTCAGTCAGGTAAGCAGCTGCCTTCGGCTGAGGTCGTGATCCCAGGGTCCTGGGATCAAGTCCCGCATCGGGCTTCCTGCTCGCGGGGAAGCCTGCTTCTCCCTCTGCCTGCAGCTCCCCCTGCTTGTACTCTCGCTCACTCTCTCTTGCCCATGCTCTCTCTCTCTCGCAAATGAATAAATAAAATCTTTTAAAAAAAATAAAAACACTAACCCTATCAGACTATGGCCCCACCCTATGACCTCATTTAACCTTAATTACCTCCTTTGAGGCCCTATTTCCAAAGTCATAAAAGGGGTTAGGGCTTCAACATATAATTTTGGGGGGACACAAACATTCAGTGTATAAATTCTGACCCTTGCCCCCCCAAATTCATGTTCTTTTTTTTTTTTTTTTTAAGATTTTATTTATTTATTTGAGAGAGAGAGAATGAGAGAGATTGGGGAGGGTCAGAGGGAGAAACAGACTCCCTGCCTAGCAGGGAACCCGATGCAGGACTCGATCCAGGGACTCCAGGATCATGACCTGAGCCGAAGGCAGTCGCTTAACCAACTGAGCCACCCAGGTGCCCCCCAAATTCATGTTCTTATCAGATGCAAAATACATTCATTCCATCCCAACAGCCCCCAAAGTCTTAACTTGTTCGCATCAACTCTAAAGTCTATAAAGTCCCAAGTCTCATCTAAATATCTAAATCAGGTCTGGGCGAGACTGGAGGCAGATTCATCCGGAGTAAATTCCTCTCCAGCTGTGAACCTGTGAAACCAGACAGGTTATGTGCTCCCAAAAATCAATGGTGAGACAGGCAAAGAATAGACATTCCCATTCCAAAAGGGATCATTCAGAAAGAAGAGAGAAGTGACGGGCCCAAGCAAGTCTAAAACCCACTGGGGCAAATTCCATTTGATTTAAAGGCTTGAGAATCATCTTTGACTTGCTGTTTCTCCTTGCTGGCCCACCGGAGTACAGCACACCTCCCCACAGCTCTGCCAGTGGGTCACCCCCCTGCCCCCCCCCAGCTCTGAAAAGGAATTGGTGGCCCCATCAAGGCAGCTCTGATGATCTGTGACTCAGGGTCAAACTTCCCTTTTCTTGAAGGATAAAGCATGTTTGCCTCCAAGGAGCTCTATGGTCCAGTCCTGTAGAATCCAAGAAGTCCAGCAGCTTTCCTGCATTCTGTCATCCAGTTTTCTCTGTCCCCTCTGGTTCTAACTGGTAGTGTTTCTGCTGCTATAATCCCATCTCTATTTCTGACTTTTGCTGATAGCTGAGTTGATATGTGGTCCATACCCATACTCATCTCCTTGTCAAATGGTTGTTCAGCCACATCCTTAGTGTTCTCTTCAGGACACATGTCCTCATTTTTTTGCGATAAGGATAGGCTGAGCATTTTCCAGTTCTTCAAGTTCTGATTCCTTTTGTTTAACAATTCCTTCTTCAGTTCATCTCTTTTCTCTCAAGTTTTACTCTAAGCAGTAAGGAGGACGCATGCCACACATTCCATACTTTGCTTAGAAATCTCTGCTGGGGCGCCTGGGTGGCTCAGTCGTTAAGCGTCTGCCTTCGGCTCAGGTCATGATCCCAGGGTCCTGGGATCGAGCCCCGCATCGGGCTCCCTGCTCAGCTGGGAGTCTGCTTCTCCCTCTCCCACTTCCCCTGCTTGTGTTCCTGCTCTCGCTGTGTCTCTCTCTAAATAAATAAAATCTTTAAAAAAATAAAAAAAAAGAAATCTCTACTTAGGGGCACCTGGGTAGCTCAGTCATTAAGCATCTGCCTTCAGCTCCCACTCCCCCTGCTTGTGTTCCCTCTCTTGCTGTGTCTCTCTCTGTCAAATAAATAAAACATTTAAAAAGAAAAAAAAAGAAATTTCCTCTGCTTAGGGGCCCCTGGGTAGCTCAGTTGGTTAAGTGTCCGACTCTTGGTTTCGGCTCAGGCCATGATCTCAGGGTCGTGGGATGGAGTCCTGTGTCGAGCCCTGTGACGGGCTCCATGTTGAATGTGGAGTCTGCTTGAGATTCTCTCTGTCCCTCTCCCTCTCTCTCTGCCCCGCCCCCCACTTGTGCTTGCTCTCTCTGTCTCAAATAAACAATTAAAGCTCTTAAAAAAAAAAAGAAATCTCCTCTGCTAAATAACCAAAGTCAGACGCTTAACCGACTGAGCCACCCAGGCACCCCAGCTTGGCACATTGTTAACGAGGCTGTCCGATGCCCATCTCCCCACGCCCTTTGAACCCAGGCTCCAGGATCACTATGCGGCCTTGAATAACTTTCCTGGCCTCTTGGAGTACTATTTTCCTGCCTGGCGGGGTTGTGGTGAAACTTAAATAAATAGCGTTTATTTAATGATGACTCGTTTTCATGTAGGACAAAGCCAGACACAGAGCTGCTTTTTTGTTCAAAACCTCCTGTGACGGGGCACCTGGGTGGCTCAGTCATTGAGCTTCTGCCTTCGGCTCAGGTCATGATCCCAGGGTCCTGGGATCGAGCCCCGCATCGGGCTCCCTACTTGGCGGGAAGCCTGCTTCTCCCTCTCCCTCTCCCCCTGCTTGTGTTCCCTCTCTCGCTGTCTCTCTGTCAAATAAATAAATAAAATCTTTATAAAAAAAAAAAACACCTCCTGTGACTTCTCATCTTACTTAGGGGGAAGCCACCACAGTCCTTGCCCCACAGACGAGACCATATGTATGGTCTTCCCTGCTAATTTCTCTGAGCTGCCCATCCTCCACTCTCCCCACTGCCCACTCTGCTCTGTCCACACTGGCCTCCTTGCTCTTCCTCAAATACACCAATCAGTTTCTACCTCAGGATCTTTGCACTCACTGTTCCTTCTGCCTGAACACTTTTCCCCACATGGCCTGCTCCTCCATCATTTCGATCTCTGTTCAAATGTCAAGAAGGCCTTCCCTGAGTCCCCTATATAATTATAGCATCCTGTCACTCTATCACCTTATTTTTTCCTTCACTATATGTATCCTTCCTGTGTTCCATTATGCATTTATTTGTCATATCTCTCCTCCAACCAGAACAGACACTCTGAAAGAGGAGAGATTTTGTCACCTTTGTTAATTGCTAAATCCCCAGGGCCTAGAACATTGAAGGAATCCCTTAAGGGGTCGATGCACAGGTGGGTGGATGGATGGGTCCACTGAAGCTCCTTTTTCTTCATGTTGTAGAGTGCCCCTGCCGCCTGGTTTCCCGGCTGGACGGTGAGCCATTCGAGGGCAGGGATCTTGTTTCTGTCATGGCCGAGTCCCCTGCACCCAGAGCAGGACTTGGCCCAGCGGAAAAGCCACTCACATTTAATGACAGAATTGAGGGCATGGTTGTGCTTTGCCCACTTCCCCCAGCTCACCCAGGGCCACTGTCTGGCAGACTCTCTGGTTTTCCTTTCCAGACGGTGTGCTTTATACTTTACCTGCCCTTCCATCTGGGCATCTGGCACTTAGCAAGTGCTCTGTAGTTTGTTTTCTGGGATGGGCATGGCCAGGCAAAGCCAGATCTGGTACCAGACTACGCAGCTGTTTGGGTGGTCTGTGCCCTTCCTGTCATTAGCAAGGATCACTGGAGCTACCAGCAGAAGGCCCTTCGATCAGGGGGAGGTAAGCCCAGTATCTGGTGCACGGTGGGCACCCAGGAAATGTGGGTTTCCTTCCCTTGCTGCCACCTGACCCTCTAGCTTTCTCCTAGCTGTGGGCCAGGCCTCACCCCTGTTGGCAGCCTCGGAGTGGGTTGGGGCCTGGGCTTCCCCATTATAGCTGGGCAGATTGCAGGATGCCACAGGGAATTGGGGGGTTCAGATCAGTCTCAGTGCGCATGTTTCTGGACAGGTGTCCTGTAAGAACTGTCCCTTCTCTCCCAAGCTACCCAAGAAACCTTCATTCTCCTTCACATCCAGCTCAAGGAGCACCTCTTGCAGAGCCTTCCCTGGCTTCCCCCAATGGACGCACCTCTCCTTCCTCTCAGGCCCCAGGCCCTTTGCACCCACTACTAGCCTGCACCACAGCTGGTGACTTACCTGTCTTTTCCCTCCCGCTGGACCAGGAGTTCCTGGAGGGCGGGGCTGGGCCTGAGCTACCAATTCGTTTTGTATCTCCCCTGCCCCCATGCCTAGCACTGAGTAGGAAGGTCATGGATGTTGGTTGGACTGGATTATACCCTGGCTTTCTGGGGCTATCTCTGCCCTTGGCACAGAGGAGACTAACTCAATACATTACGGGAGTCAGAAAAATCTTCCCAAAGGAGGGGGGGATGGTGGTTTCCTCTGCATCCTGGGCCCCCATAAGACCTGGGCCTCCAGCTTGGTGTTACTTTGTATTACTGAGAATTTTAGCAGTGGTTGTACTCTTACTGGGAAGGGGGTGTCTGAAGGCCTGAGGCATATGCATCTCTACTGGGCATCCCTAGTTTATTATGGCCAATCTTGCACATGGTGGTACTCTTTCTTTAAGCATCACTAGGACCCAGCCCCTTGGGGCAGCCCTACCAACTTCTACCAGCCTGGCAGCATTGCTTATGAGATGAAATCTATTTGCCAGCCCTGGCCTAGGGCCTTTACACTCAAGAGAAGGACTCTAGCATGGTCAATAATAGACCCTAGAACAGGACATTGGAAGAAGCATAGTATTTTCACACAGAGAAGTCTTCCCCCTGAATTGCCCCACAGACACATCTGCGTTTTCTGGGCCCCACGAGTATTCACAAACACCAAGCGCAGGCTCAGGTGCCTAGGAAGGTTACTGAGCAGTTCCACCTCTACTGTGCCTTTCAGAAGGGAGAGCGACAGTATTTTTACTGGTATAAAATCAGTAGTTCCAGGCCGGGCCCCCGTGTGCTGGCTGAGCCTCACTTTCCTCGTCTCTCAAAATGTGGGTCCCAGAACGGCCCAGCACCAGGGTCATTGGTCAGGATCAGATAAAATGGGGGAGATGACAGGGATTTCATAAACAATTGGATGCAGCCTGTCAGAAGGCCCTCTCTCCCTGACGCCAATGAGCCAACTCCTATTCACCCTTCAAAACCCAGTTCAAATGTGGTCCTCTTTGTTTCCCAAATGTTTCCACTTTATTGTACCTCATCCCAGCCTCTGTTTGCCACAGAAGTCTGGTTTGGAGTGGAGGTGCTGGGATATTCTTTCCAGGTCTCTAAGTAGGTTAGAAGAGCTGTGTAGAGGGTGGGCACCCTGACCTTCTCACCTGTATATAATGGGCATATAGCAGATATTGAATTGAATGCCCAGCATAGGAATTCTGATCCAAAAGTCACCACTTGCTAAGTATCCCAGGCCCTGGAATGAGTGCCTTCTCTGTAGTAATCCTGTCGGTAGGTGCTGTCTGTAATCTCCACCGTACAAAGCAGGGAACTGCAAATCAGGGCGGGCAGAGTAGCCTGCTCTGGGATTTGAACCCTCTCCATAGTGCATGCACACAGCGATGCTGCTCCTTTGGGATTTTGGTGGTCGGAGAGGAGGATTCACACTGGGCCGGGTGAGGAACCTTCTACCTAGCGCCCGGGGCAGGGAATGTTTTTTTCCTTGGCTTTGGATTCAGACTTCAGAATTACCTCTTGGGATGGATATGGGCACTGCTTGTTGCTCTTAAGTCTGTTCAGACTGCATGGGAACACTGCTCTCTGACCACCGTGGTCTTCTGAGAGAGCTACAGGCTGAGCCGGGCTTCGGGAAGATAACAGGCCAACTGCCCCCACACGGCGTGAGCCGGTGCGGGGAACCGTGATCAGCTGAAATTAAAGCGAGTCATCAAGAGGCTCTACGTGGGGCAGGGCAGGGTCTGATTTGAGGGCTCAAGAGCCTACCCCTTCCCCGTGATGGCCTCAGGGAGGTGGGGGGCAGTGAGGAGGCTGGTCCGCTTGTCTGGGCACAGGAAACACTCCCAAGTGGTGGGGAGGGATGGGGGCTGGATTCTGACCTGGGTCAGAGTGACAGGGCTTGGTGGTCGTGACCCTGTGGTGCTGGTTGTCTAGGCCTGTGGGGGTCTGGCCCCCTCTCACCGGTCCCCTGCCCTTGCTGGGCCACACTGCATGGTGATAGGTACACCCTTGTCTCTCCCACCAGGTGAGCTTCCCTTGCAGGGCCAGGACTGGTCTCAGCCGTCGGTGGCTCCCCAGGCTCCCAGGAAATAGAATGAATTGAGCATATGATGGTCCCATCGAAGGGAGGGGGAGAGACTCTGTGGAGGGTCTAGGCTTCGAAGGAGGGATAGAGTTTCCTTTAGAGGATGGCGGCACAGGTAGAAGGAACCACAAGGGCAAAAGCCAGGAGACAGGAAGGCCACCACAGCCCGTTCTGGCTGGAGGCCCAGAGGAGCGTGTGGTTGTGAGGGGGATGAGCCCTTGTGTCCCAGACAGGGAAGCCTAGGACAGAGAGACCAAACAAAAGGTGTGCCTGGCAAGGCCCAGGGAGCCCAGGGCCATCACCGCCTGCCTCCTGCAGGAGAACAGGGTCCTAGTTGTGTCCATCCCGGGACACACTTGCAGGTTTTTGCAAGAAGGAGGAGCAGGGTTGGATGACGTGTGTTCCCGGGGTGGTTGGACTGTCGCCCCGCCCCAGGTGCTCTGCCCATGTGTCTCCTGAGTGCTCACGACAGCGGTGAGGCAGGGGCCACCATCAGCCCTATTTTCCCCATCAGGAGACCAAGGCCCAAAGTCACAGTCGCACGCAAGCGTAAGTGGTAGCATTCCCACCGAGGTCTTTCGGAGTCCCGAGCCCTGACCCTCGGGCCCGGAGGGCAAGCAGATGTTAGTGGGCATGTGGCAATGGCCCAGGCCCTGGTGTGAAGAGCACTGTTCTGGGAGCCTGAAGACTCAGTGTGGCTTCACCCCTCCCTGGGAAGGACACACGGGAAGAACGAGATTTGGGGAACTGAGCTCCCCTGATCCCACGCTTGTTATCTCTAGAGCCTCACAGCTACCCTTCCAGGCGGGGCTTGTCAGCTGACAAGCTGCACAGAGGAGGAAAGTGAGGCCCAGAGCAACGCAATGGCCACATGGCGTCTCACAACTCCGAGTGTGGCCGAGGACACGGTGTGTGGTCTGATGGGGCTGTTTACCTGCTCACTGGTCAAGTGATCTTGGGAAAGAAACTTCATACCTTGTGCCTCACTGTCCTCATCTGTAAAATGGGTTAGTGACCCCTACCCTTCTTACGAGACAGGATTGTAAGGACGTGGTTGATGCAGATGGAAATAAAGAACAAGGAAGCGGGCCGCCTGGGTGGCTCAGTCGATGAAGTGTCTGCCTTCGGCTCAGGTCATGAGCCCAGGATCCTGGGATCGAGCCCCGAATCGGGTCCCTGCTTAGTAGGGAGCCTGCTTCTCCCTCTTTTCCCTGCTCATGCTCTCTCTCATTGTCTCTCTCTCAAATAAATAAAATCTTAAAAAAAAAAAAATAGCACAAGGAAGTAAGGAAGTCCGGGAAGGTATTAATTTGACACACTTGCTCCCTCCCCAAAGTAGCTGGGTGTTTTTCACACCTTTTTACATCTTGGTGCGCCTGCTTGTATCTGCACTCTAGCCCTCTGCTGATGGCGCTCCCCCCTTCCCAGCACAGCCCGCAGTCCTCTCTCCGGGACCATTTGGTGGGGGAGAGAGTGATCATGGAAGGGACCTGTGAGTAGCCTGGACAGAAAGTGCTGGCTTGAGATCAGGCAGCTTCCAGCCCCCTTCCCACTAGGGGGTGGGAGCCCCAGGCTCAGGTTCTGACCCAGGGGAAGGCCCACATCCCTTCTGGGCTGCCACTGGGTGGGACAAGCTGACCTCCAATGGGCCTTCTAGTCCATACATGGTGCCGTGGAAGCCGGGTGGGCTGTCTAGATCTGGCCAGGAGCTCCCGGTGCCCGGGGGGGGCTTGCCCTAGAGGAACCTGAACTCTAGCTGCTCTGCCTGAGCCTCCCTTCTCCTTAAGCAGTTTTCACTCCCTGCCTCTTGAGCAGGCTCCCTGCACGTGTTTGGTACCATTCACTTGCTGTGCATCAGCAGGCCAGTCCTCAGGCTTGCTGAGCCTCTGTCTTCCTCATCCAGAACATGGGAAATTCCCTCCATCTTGCCAGATTGGGGCCCACACTATGCTACCTGGTCTGGTATGGGCCATGCGGGCTCCCGGGCGTGTGAGGGCTGTGCGGAAGGGCTGTTGGTGGTAAATGAGCGTGGCCTGGGTTCAAATCCTTGCTCGGGTGCCTATGTGCCAGCTCATGCCTGGGGCTCCCTGAGCTTATTTCCACCTTGGTAAAATGGAGACAAAATGACACCTGCCTCATGACATTGTTGAAAGATTCAAAGAGATTCTTATACAAAGTGCCCGGCCCAGTGTCTGGTGCTACCTTGTAACTGTAATCATCGGCATCATCTTGCATCCTCTGTATCTCTTCTCCTTGGGCTGAGTTTGCTGGTAAAACCAGGTTTTCTCCTTGAACTTGGGGTGTCTGGTGCAGAATGGCCGCCCGAGCCATGTGTGAGAAAAGGCAGGTGGCCTCCAGGCATCCCCCCGCCCATCAGAGGCCCCGCACAACACCGGAGTCCAGCGGGGCGTGGGTGTGGAGGGCAGGAGCTGCGTGGCTGGGTTCAGAAGGTCTTTGTAGGCTGTGAGATGGGCACCTGTGAAAGGGGATGAGTGTGGGAATGAGAGCACACAGTGGGGTGGGGACTGTGACCAGCCACCAGCCCCTGCTGACTAACTGATAGACTGCTCTCTCCCCCAGAGACTGATGGAGAGGCAGAGACGGAAGGCGGACATCGAGAAGGGGCTGCAGTTCATTCAGTGAGTGTGGGGCAGGCTGGGCAGGCTGGGCATGGTGGGTCCTCTGATGCCAATGCCCGAAGCCCGCCCAGGCCTCCCCAGCTCCCCTTTTCTTCTCACTAAGCCTTTGCTGCTCAGGCTCCCATGTGTGCTGGGGAGTGAGGAGGTGGGATGTGCTAGGAAGGGGCCAGGGGAGGGGCTGTAGATCTGTGAACCACCCCCCACCACCCATGCACACACATTCCCTGACCCTGGTTACCCTTCAGTCCTGCTCCGTATACCATTTTACCCTCGCCTTCCACATACACTGGCACACTTCCTGTTAATTCTTCTGCTGGCCTGTGAACATCTTATAACCAGTCAATCAATAAATTAGTTTCTACTTATTAAGCACATCTCTCAGGCTCTGTGTTGGGCCCTTCACATCCATCATCTTCTTAATCCTCACAACAGCCTCGTGAAGTAGGTGGCCTTATTTCCATTTTGCTAAGGCTCAGAGAGGTTAAGAAACTTGTTTATGGTCACACAGCTACAACGTGATAGGATTCTAACCCAGGTCTGGCTGACCCCAAACCCACATTTCTTTCCATTATTTGCCCCTCAGTACCCACATGCCATATTTGGGTTTTGTTTTGTTTTGTTTTTTCTTTACACACAAAGTATTTTTACTAACTTTTTTCTTACATAGATCCCCAGAGGCACATTTATCATGACACTACTGAAGTGTTAGCTGCAGGACCCCTCACTTGCTCGGGTCCTTTCCGAAGCCATGGAAGGTGCCCTGAGCAATTCTTTGTTTCTAATTTTGTGGGGTTTTTTTCTTATATGGGAATCCCCACAAAACTAGGATTTACAGCTACATACCCTCATATAAACTCTCCAGTTTTGTTTCTCACAGAGATGCGTAAAACACGACCTGCCTCTTCCCCACAGACTGGGCCCCTTGTCACACACGCAGTGTCCGCGTGGCTCTGTTCGAGTGCATGTCGACATTCACACACTGTCCTTGCGCAGCTTGCTCAGGCCGCCATGAGAACTGTGGTCCACTTTTCACTCCTCTCTGAGCCGGTCTCCTCCCATCTGGGGGAGAGCTTTGATTTGGCGGCACTGCTCAAGATTTATAAGAGGCCAGTCTGATGAACAAAGTGAACCTTGCAAATACTGTCTCTCATAAGAATTATGTCTTTAACTTAAGTCACTGATTTCTTAAGTCCCTGCGAAATGAATTCAGCCCCTTCCCTCAGAGTCATTGTGCTTGGGGTAAATGGTAGCTCATTGTTCTCCTTCCCCTTTCCAGAGGGGAGTTCCAAGAAGGTTTAGCAATAGGACAGCCTCCCAGGAACCCATACGGTAGTCTCCTAAGGGATTGCTTTACAAGATAACACAATAGGACCTGCTTCTTTTAAAATTAACTGTTTTCATATATAGCCTTTGTGCACTAAGCATTTATTAGGCACCTCTGGGCATAGAGCACTGTAGGACCATAAAGTGGTTTGCACAGGTGGGGTGGCGCTGGCTTGTGTGGAGCCTTGAACACCAGGATGAGGTGACCTTTAGGTCAGGGTGTGACCTACTGGACAGGGAGCTGGTGCTGGAGGTGGGAGGTCAGGAGGCAGGGTAGTGATGGGGCCTGGCTGGGGAGTACAGGGAACAGTGATGGGCCCTGGTCCCTGACGGTGGAGAGGCAAGTGAGCAGGATGTGAGCCCCGCTGTCACAATTAGGGACACCCTCTCCCCCACACACAGGGGCCCTCGGCATCTCCTCTCACCACTTCTCACTCACTGGCTCAGGCTGATCTTTCTTGCCCAGATGTTGGCGGCAGCTCCGGGCAACAGAAAGAGCCCCAGCCCTGCACTGTGGCCCTGGTGCTGCCGCCGACCTGCTGGGTGACCTTGAACAAGTCACTGCCCCCTCCGAGTGTCTGTTTTCCCCTTTGTGATGTGGAGGACCAGGAGACTGCCCTTCTAGCTCAGCTATTTAGCCTGACCGATGTGCCTCCGTTCTCCTGGGCTGGCGTTTTCTTCTGTACTGAGCTGGCATTTTGTTGGCCCCCACAGAGGAGAGGGTGCCCACAGCCCCATCTGCTTTGTGGAGGCTGGCACGAAGGGTCAGGCTCTGAGCGTACCTGGCATTGGCTGGGGTCCTGCGTGTTTTGCGGGAAGGGATGGGAGAAGGGGGACCTGAGGTGGACTCTCGGTGCTGCCTGGGGCGCCTGCATTTGCAGGTTTGGTGTGTTGAGCTGTGGTCATTCCCAGAGAACTGGTTTCTTGCGAAGAGGACAGCCAGCTGGAGCTGGAGCTGGTCTGTTCTTTCTCAGCATCTGCACCTGGGAAAGCCTGGCCGTCGCCCTGGGGCAAACACAAGGCCTTGCTCCAACCCTTCCATCAGAAGTAGAAGACCAACATGGTGTTGGTTTAGGGAGAAAAAAACCTGTTGTCCCCTTAAACATGGTGTTGGTTTAGGGAGAAAAAACTGCTGTCCCCTTATTCCAATCTGCAAAGTGACATCTGAGGTCCAAGCTAGATAAGTCCATTCCTGGCATGATCTGTGGCCTTTGGCTTGGGCTCCTGGGGCCTCCATGAGTCTGAGACCCCTGGGCTCACCCAGACTTCGTACCCCTCTCCTTTTCCTGCTAGGTCGACACTACCCCTAAAGCAAGAAGAATATGAGGTGAGTGTCAGCTGCTGGGCTGGGGGAAGGTGAAGGAGAAGGGCAGAGGTGTCCGGGGGGTGGGGTGTAGAGGCCAGGTGCCAGGCCTTGGGCTGCATGAAGACCCCTGAGCCCCCTCTGCACCCTGCCCCCTCGCAGGCCTTTCTGCTCAAGCTGGTGCAGAACCTGTTTGCTGAGGGCAATGACCTGTTCCGGGAGAAGGACTATAAGCAGGCCCTGGTGCAGTACATGGAGGGGCTGAACGTGGCCGACTATGCTGCCTCCGACCAGGTGGCCCTACCCCAGGAGCTGCTGTGCAAACTGCATGTCAACCGGGCCGCCTGCTACTTCACCATGGTGAGCCCGACACCCTCCCTTCCTCTCCTCTACCCCCTGGGCCCTGACCACCACTTTCCCCAGATGCCCAGCCAAGCCCAGCCGGTACCCCAGTGAGCCTCTGCAGGGCCAGCCGCTCACCTCCTTCTGTATGAGTCTCACCATCTACTCCCATGGCTCCCAACCCCAGCTGCACCACGGACTCACCTGGAGAGCATTTTTTTTGTTTGTTTGTTTGTTTGTTTTTTAAGATTTTATTTATTTGCGAGAGAGACAATGAGAGACAGAGAGCACGAGAGGGAGGAGGGTCAGAGGGAGAAGCAGACTCCCTGCTGAGCAGGGAGCCCGATGTGGGACTCGATCCCGGGACTCCAGGATCATGACCTGAGCCGAAGGCAGTCGCTTAACCAACTGAGCCACCCAGGCGCCCTCACCTGGAGAGCGTTTAAAGCACTAATACACGATACAAAAAATGATTTGTAATGATACTAAGCCCCACCCCAGAGGAATTAAGTTAGACTCTCAGGGTGGCCGGGGCACTGGCAGGAGTCTGTGGGCAGTCAGGGCTGAGCTCCGTGACCCTCATCATGTGCTGCCTCTTTCTGCAAAGCCCTGGCCTCCCTCCTGTCTCCCCCGTCCCTGAAAGCAGCTCTGGCCTCCACCTCTTCCCTGTCCTGCTTGCTCACTGACTCAGTCACTCACCGGATCCTTTGGGAGGCTCTGCTGGGAGCTCTGTAGAGGACCCACTAACACCTCTGCGGTCCGGAGTGGACTGTTCTGGAGAAGCACGTCTACCAGATGCCTAAGAGTATGAACGCCAGAGCTGTTTCCTGGAGCTCTGCGCCCCCCTCCCTGACCCTGGTCCTCCAGCATCCTCCATCTCTGCAGGGAAAGAGGCGGGAGGCGCAGGGAGGGAGGCAGCAGGTGCCGAGCGCTGAGCCGCCCGCTCCTCTCCACAGGGCCTGTATGAGAAGGCGCTGGAGGACAGCGAGAAAGCGCTGGGCCTGGATGGCGAGAACATCCGGGCACTGTTCCGCAAGGCCCGTGCCCTCAGCGAGCTGGGGCGCCACAAGGAGGCCTACGAGTGCAGCAGCCGGTGCTCCCTTGCCCGGCCCCACGTGAGTGCCCTGCGTGCCCTGCGTGCCAGCTCTTCTGAGCCAGCTTCCTCCCCTGGGGCTTGGACTCGCACATACTGATACGGACCCTGAGCTCTAGTTGTGTTTCAAGCACTGCTGAAAATGCCCTGTATGTATTAACTCACTTAATCCTGGCACCTACCCGTTGAGGTAGATACTGTTAGTATCCCGTTTTATTTTATTTTATTTTTTTTTAATAATTTTTTTTTTTTAAGATTTTATTTATTTATTTGACAGAGAGAGACACAGCGAGAGAGGGAACACAAGCAGGGGGAGTGGGAGAGGGAGAAGCAGGCTTCCCACGGAGCAGGGAGCCCGATGTGGGGCTCGATCCCAGGACCCTGAGATCATGACCTGAGCCGAAGGCAGACGCTTAACAGCTGAGCCACCCAGGCACCCCTTATTTTATTTTTTTTAAAGATTTTATTTATTTATCTGAGAGAGAGAATGGGAGACAGAGAGCACGAGAGGGAGGAGGGTCAGAGGGAGAAGCAGACCCCCTGCCGAGCAGGGAGCCCGATGCGGGACTCGATCCCGGGACTCCAGGATCATGACCTGAGCCGAAGGCAGTCGCTTAACCAACTGAGCCACCCAGGCGCCCTTATTTTATTTTTTTTTAAATGTTTTATTTACTCATGAGAGTCAGAGAGAGAGAGAGGCAGAGGCAGAGGGAGAAGCAGGCTCCCCGCCCAGCAGAGAGCCCGATGCTGGACTCATCCCAGGACCCCGGGATCATGACCTGAGCCGAAGGCAGACGCGCAGCCATCTGAGCCACCAGGCGCCCCAATACTGTTATCATCCCATTTTAAAGATGAGGAGAGAGGCACAGAGAGAGAGGAACTTAGCCAAGATCACAGCTGGAGTTGGCAGAGTCGCCCTTGAACCCAGGCAGTCTGATTCTAGAGTTGGCATCCTAACCTCTGTACCGTAACGGTACAGGGTTGCAGCAGGGACTAAAAGGGGTGCCACGTGTGCCGGGATCCTGATGTCCAGGCTGTCCCTGGGTGGGGGAGAGACAGGGAGTCGATCAGTAGTGAGCCTGGCTTGCCCTGGCCCACACACAGCTGGGCACATGCCCTCTTCCCCCTTTATTCATCCACCTAACAAGTATTTACTAAGCACCCATGCAGTGCCCAGATCTGTGTCCTTCAGGGACCCACAGTCCACTGGGAGACATGGAAAGAGGCCTGGCATCTAGGCCTGGCTCCACCACTGACCCCCAGCGTGACCTTGGACAAAACACTTCCCCTCTCTGCACATCAGCTGCATGTCTATAAAGGGCCCCTCCTACTTTACCCCTGAAATAATGAGTATGAAAGGGCTCACACAAGGCTCAGTTCTGCCCAGGAGTGATCAGGATCTTAGAGGGCTCCCTCCCTGGAGGAAGGTGGGCTTGAGTGGAGCCAGAAGAAGCAGGAAGGATCTGGGTGGTCAGAACAGAGGGAAGGCCATGTGCACAGTGGTCCAGGATGTTGGTGTCAGAGAGCTGGGTTTAGGATTCTAATCTTAAGTCAGTCATCTGCTAGCCATGTGACCTTGGACGCATACAGCTTAGTCTCTCTGAGCCTTGTTTGTACCCCCTGTCCAACAGGGATGATAATATGCCATGCATCATTGGGTTATGAGAATGGAATCTGAAAATCATGCAAGGCAGTTGGCATACCGGCCAGAAAACATGCACTGTTACTATACTTTTTGTTTATTATTCATGCTTCTCCAATTCAGTTTAAAGATTTTATTCATTTATTTGTCAGAGAGAGAGAGCACAAGCAGGGGAAGCGGCAGGCAGAGGGAGAAGCAGGCTCCCCACTGAGCAAGGAGCCCGTTGCAGGATTTGATCCCAGGACCCTGGGATCATGACCTGAGCTGAAGGCAGACACTTAACTGACTGAGCCACCCAGGTCTCTCCAATTCAGTTTAGTTCACAACTGAGATCCTGTCTTATGACAATAGTCCCTGAGCTGTACAGCATTTTCTAGTGTCTGTGGCAGGTCCACATCCGAGTCTCATGTCTACCGTTCATGGGCAGGCAGGGTGGCGTTTACCCCACTGTATGGGTGAGGACACTGGGGCCCAGCGAGGTTGCTCACTTGCCTAAGGAAAGTGCCCAGATGAGGACTTCTGACTCTGAGTTGGGGAACTGCCCCATTTCCCAGTCTTTGTTGGCAAATACTGGCTGAGCTCTGCTCTGTGTTGGGTACTGGGGACCAGAGATGACTAAGACTCTGGCCCTGGGTTCCAGGAGCTCATCAGCTAGGGAGGTGTGGTCAAAGGCACAGGTTGTTACAACATCCTTGTTCCCCCTTTGGTCCTTGGTCCATAGTTACCATTTCTTTGTTTATTGGTTGGTGTCCCCCACTAGACTGGAGCCTCCATGAGGCCTGGGCCTCGTCCTCCCTGTGATGGTGGCGTCCCTGGCTCCTAGCCCTTGCCTGGCACATAATGTGCATACAGTAATACAGCCTTGGAGGGAGGAAGGAATGTTGGGTGCTGTTACAGAGCACTAACCGTGGGCCAGCCATGTTCCAAACTTCCCACATTCTCACTCCTATGGGCCTGGGCACCACCCACCTGTCCTCTCTTGCAAAGAGTTCTAAGACATTGCGTGGTTAAAGAAGCCAGTGGTAGAACAATAGGTACAATATGATCTCACTTATGAAAAAAAAAGGAGAAAATCCTCACAAAGCAAAACCGAGCATCCTTTATAGGTCCATAGGCACATACGTAAATTCCTAGAAAAGATCTGTAGGGAGACAGATGAGAGCACAAGGCATGCTCCCTCTGGGGAGGAACCTAGGGCGAGGGTGGGGATGGGGGTGATCCAGGGGAGCACTTGCTCTCTCTGCAACATTTCAGCCCTCTACAGAGACACTACCACTTGCTGAGTTTTAGAAATAAAAAGATCATCTTAAATTCCAAAATAAAAATTATTCCTTTCCCATCCCCACAGTAAAAGGACAAAGGGAAGCATGAGTTCTGGTTCAGCCCCACCACGCACGAGTTGTGTGACCTGGGCAGCCAGTGACCCCTCCTGGGGCCTCGCTCCCTTATCCGTAACATGGCGTAACAGTGGATGCCCGCCCCCCCCCCCCACATGCCCCACCGTGCCCCAGAAGGGCTGCTCAGGGTCTCCAGAGCAGAGCTCTGTGAGCTAGGGCAGACTAACCCCCTCCACCCCGTATCTTGCCATTTCCAGGATGAAAGCGTAACTCAGCTTGGTCAGGAGCTGGCTCAGAAGCTTGGGCTTCGGGTTCGGAAAGCATATAAGAGGCCCCAGGTAGGTGGGCTCTGGGCGCTGAGGGTGGGTGGGGGTGGAGATGGGGAGGTCTGAAGGGGGACCAGGCACCTTCGGGCAGAAGTGGGTGAGGGTGGCCAGGGCTGGGTCAGGACAGAGGGCAATGATAACAGGTGATCTTCTCTCTGTGTTGGCTGGAAGCCCTGGACCGACTTCCAGACCTTTTGGAAAAGGAAGTAACAGCCAGAGTTTGCAGTTCGCCTTAGACACTAGCTGCTAAAACCTGTTCCCTCCCATGCCCTGGCCAGCTTAAACGCCCCAGAGATGGCCTGACCTGACACTGGTGTCTTTCGGTCTTATGTTCTCAAATAACCTCTGTAGGGTGCATATTGGAGACATTGGCATCTGTGTGGCTCTTTCAGACCCACCTTTATTCATTTGGCACCTCTTTTGTGTCAGAAAGCTGCATGGGGGAGAGGGTATGGCTCTAGAGTCAGCTGTGACCTTGAGCAACTTAGTTCTCTCTCCCCTGGCGTTTCTACATCTGGAACATCTGGATAATTATGCCCACCGCAGGGGGCTCGTGGGAGGATCAAAATGAAAGGATGTTTGATGTGGTGCCTGGCATGCAGTAGGAGCTTGTTTGTGGAAGTCCTCTGCCCGGGTCCCAGTTACAGGAAGAAAATACCTGAATCTGACCCAGAGACAGGGCAGGTCACTTCGGGCAGGCCTAGGGGCAGGGAGCCTTAGGGTACTACAGACCCCAGCTGCCTGGGTTGGGGCCCCTCTGCTGCCCTGGCTGATGGGACCCGGAGCATCTTTCTAGAATCTTCATCCCTTCTCACTTCTCTAACCTCTGCAGGAATTGGAAACATTTTCTCTGCTCAGTAATGGCACTGCGGCTGGCGTGGCAGATCAGGTAGGATGGGGACCAGGACCCCAAGCCCCCTCCCTGCCTCCAGTACCAACTTGTCATGAGAGCTTTGGATTCACTCTGTGGGGCATAATGACCCCAGCAGGGGGTCCAGGGCCATCAGACTGAAGGGTTGGGCTCAACCCATCCTAGTCCGCACTGCTGTGAGCCAGGCACCTGCCCTGGGAAGAGGGGGTGACTGACCGCCTGGGCCTGGGCCAGACTCAAGGATAGCTCTGGGATGCACAGCACCTCCACCTCTTAAGAGTGGCCTCCTGATACCACAGGGGCAAAGTGTGGGGATAGGCTGTGGCCGCTGTTGGCGGGCGGGTGGCCCAGTCCCGTTGATCTTCCTGCTTCCTCACCCCCATCCTTCCTGCCGCCATTGCTTTCCTCCCCAGTGGGCTTTCTGCATCTAGGCCTCCAGGTCTCTAATGTCCTCCCTCCAGCCTACCCTACTTTCTCTGCCTTTCCATTTTCAAGACCCAGCTAAAGCACACACCTCCACTGAGGCCCTTCCTGGTACCCCTGCCCAAGTGACTGCTGGGGAGATGCACAGAAGTGGGGGGCAGAGCTCATACCTGGGATCCCATAGAGAAGAGCCCAGCCTGCCTCTGTGCAGGCTGTTCTTGAGCAGAATCTTTACCTCTGAGCTTCAGATTTCGAACCTGTGGAATGAAGGTGTTCTGTCCCTCGGCCAGAACAAGGGAGCATACTCTGAGAAGTGTGGCACCTGCGGGAGCCATGAGGATAATGCTGGTACTTCAGCATTATCCTAGGTTTTGGATGTCCCCCGCCTCCCGGGCCAAGACCCTTGTACAACCCTGGCTCATCCTGGGGGTGGCGGCAGGACCCAGTACATACACTGGACTCTCCCACTGCTCACCACGCATGCTCAGGTGGACTTTGAGGCTTTTTGGAAGACAAGGGACAGGCTCTAGGAGCACTGATGGAGGCTGGGGTCCTGCCTCTTTGTTGTACGTAAGGGGAGACTGAGGCACCGAGCGAGGAGGGGACTTGGCGAACATCACACAGCCAGGCAGCAGCAGGCCTGGCTGCCTTCCGAGCGTTAACAAGGCTTTCATTCATTCACTCAGCAAACTCCCAGAGAACCCTTTCTTGGCCCTGGGCTGGGTGCTGGGGCGTAGCTGAGTCAGGCAGGCACATCCTTGGCCTGGGGGACTTCCGGGTGCCAGATCCACATCTGCCTGTATAGCATTCCTCATGGATTGTAACCGGAAATTTGGGGGCCTGGCACATAATGGATGCTCAAAAAAAAAAATTATGACATTTTGCTATAACAAAATGCCATGGACTGGGCGACTTATAAACAACAGAAATTCATTTCTCACAGTTCTAGAGACTGGGAAGTCCAAGATCAAGGTGCTGGCCAATTCGGTATCTGTTGAGGACCCGCTTCCTGGTTCACAGATGGCACTTTCTAGCTATAACCTCACATGGCGGAAGGGGTAAGGGAGCTCTCTAGTGTCTCTTTTATAAGGGCACTAATCCCGTTCGTGAGGGCTTCACCCTCATGACCTAATCGCCTCCCGAAGGCCACACCTCCTAATACTATCACCTTGGGGGGTAGGATTTCAACGTGTGTATTTGACATCCGTTGAATGTTTAACAAATATTCAGACCATAGCAGTGGATGAATGACTGAAGAATTGCAAATAATTTCACAATGCCTCGAGGGAGGTACTACGTACCCCTATTACAAAGAAGAGAGCAAGGCCGGACAAGTTAGATGACTTGTCTGAGTTCACTGAGCCTGGGGCTAGGTACGTGGTAAACAAAACATTCGTGGTTCCTGCCCTCAAAGGGCTCACAGTCCAGGGTGAACGGATACTAGCCTGATAATTTCTGGTTACAAACCATCATGAGAGCTGTAAAGGCAAAGTGTGGGTAGCCACGGGCCACTGGAATAGGGAGGCCTGATTTAGATTGGGCATCAGCAAACTTTCAAATGAGACCTGAAGGTTGAGGAGTAGGCAGGGGCATGGTGTGCTGGTAAAGCTGCATTTCAGACAGGGGATGGTATGTGCAAAGGCCCCGAGGCTAGGAGGACCTCAGAGAATGGGAGGGACCTAGTGGAGGGGAGGCAGGGCCCTAGTGGGGCTGGGATAGTAGGTAGAAGCCAGACCACCTTGCCCCTGGGGAGGAGATGAGTCTTCATCATAGGAGTGTTGGGAAGGCTTTGAAGGGGAAGAGGATTGAGTCTGTTCATTAATTCAGAAGAGATTTATTGAGGGCTCCTATGTGCCCAGCATAGAGTCGATCGAGGCACTGGATATACAGCAGAGGGAGAAATAGCCAAGGAGTCCCACCCTCATAGAACTTACAGCTAACTGGAGGAGACAACAAACAAAAAGTGATCAGTGCCTTGGAGACGTGCGGGGTGGGGAATGCTAGAGTAATTGGGAGGGGTTGCAGTTTTAAACAGTGAGCAGGGAAGGCCTCAAGGAGAAGGAGACACTGGAGCAAAGACCTGAAGATAAGGGATGTGCCTTGAGGAGGTCTAGGGGAGCAGGCAGAGGGAATGGCCGGTGCAAAGGCCCTGAGGCAGGGGTGTGCCCAGTGTGTGGGGAGAACAGCTAGGAGGCCAGGGTAGCTAGAGGCCAGGGTGCAGGGCTCCTCTTCCCTCTTGCCAGAGGTGATAGGGAGGCAGGGAGTTATTCAGGCAGATCTTACTCAGAGTTCTTGGATATCAAGGGCTCCTGCCTCATTCCTGGAGCTGAAGAAACTGTCATGATTGTGCCTTATAGGACTATGCTGGGGTGACCCTGGCTGGGTACATGATGGTATGTCCCTGCTTCTTCCTTCCCTTCCTGCAGTGACTGCCCTGGTTAAAGCCACATCCCACTTGGGCTAGCCTCCCCTTCCTGTACCCTCAAGGTGAATTCTGACAGGCCTCTGGGTCTCTCCCCAGCATAGAGACCCTCAGTGGTTATTAATTAAAGTGTCTGTTTAAAAGGAATCAACTCCGGATACTCTTGCCTGGCATTTAGGCTCCCCAACAGTCTAGTTCCAACGTCCCTCTCCATCCTCACCTCCTACCCATGCACCAGACAAAGTGTGCGTGCATTTCTCCCGGGCTCCGTGGCAAGCTCCTCTGAGAGCAGGACCATGGGTTCCTCTGTTCTGGGCCTCCACATGGCACCCCTTTGGAGTCAGATAGGTCAGGTCTCTGCTCACTGGTGGCATGACCTAGAGGAAAGGACTTGTCTCTGAGCTTTGGATTCCCCTCTGTAAAACAGAAGATTGTGCTCAGTTCCCAGGGTGCTTGTGTGGATGACATGAAGGCAGGCCTGGGAGGCCAGCAGCCTGGTGCCCCCGGCGGGGGTGGGGCCCCTCCCCATCCCGTTCCAGCCCAGCCCACAAGTTTTTCCTCGGGGTCAGGGGTTGGAGAGCCTCCAGGATACACGGAGTGGGGCGGCGGGGAGCGTGCCAGCCAGATCCCCTGCCCCAGGAGGTTTCCACAGACATCGTGCATGAGCCTGGCCACAAGCATCCCCTGCAAGACTCTCCAGCACCGGGGTCCCGGTGGTTCAGCCAGCCGGTCATTCCACATGTGTGCCTGGTTGTGGAGACTCATGAGCTCCCCGTGGGAGCTTCGTGGGACTTGGAGATGAGACGGGCAGGCATGGTGTCCGCGCCTGAGCTTGGCAGCGTGAGGGGCAAGACAGGAGGAAAGCAGTGAGTTTTAGGGACAGATAGCACCTGAGGCGGCCTTGTTTGGAGAGGACTTGACAGAGCCTGCGTGGCAGGATTCAGGCAGGTAGAGAGGAGGGGGCAGAACTCAAAGCCAGAGGAACAGGCTTGAGCACTGAGCCCAGGCCGAGAGGCAGGAGAGGGGAACGTGTACCCTGGACCACAAGACTGGTTCTCCCCGTGGGGGTTTGGAAGAGCCTGGGCTCTGGAGCCAGGCATGGGTTCTGGCTCAGGTCTCAAGCGCACCCTTATCTGAGGCAGCCACTCCACCTCTCGGGGAGCCGCTGGGCCCCGCCATGTGGTGGTGGCTGTAGGGGAACAGCGGGTCCTCTATGAAAGCCGCGGGTACGAGGCCTGTCAGAGAGGGGGAGCTCCATCAACCTTGTTGCCACGTGAGTGCCCCTAGCAGTGAAAGGCAGGGACAGACGAGCCTAGCAAGATGGGCTGGAGCTGGGTGGCGGGCAGGGGACCTGGAGAGCCGCGGATGCACTGGGCAGGGAGGTGCACAGCTGTCCCTAGCGTTGTCCACCTGACACCTCTTTCCCTCCTCCCACGCTCTGTATGCTCTCCGTGAGAGCAGCAGCTCTGACCCAGCGTGGCAGCCTCGGTTTGTGCAGCAGACACGCCCGAGACACCGAGTGGCACGTCTTTGCCACGCCAGGGCCGGGCTCCAGGGCGTGCGGGTGGGGCTGGGAGCGCAGAGGCCTGGGGCTGGGGTCGGGGCCGAGTCCCGAGTCAGACAGCCCCTCTCTGGCCCGGGAGTGGCAGCTTCCCTGGACCCCTGGACCGACATCTCTGTGCAGGGGCGGGGTGGGGGGACAGCACCTTGCAGGGCACCTGGACCAAGGGCTGAACTCGATTGGCTGCAGGGTGCTGGCCCGGCCTGGCAGGAGGCAGGGCACCGGATGCACCTCGCTGTTGTTAGTGGCACTGTGGGCCCACGGGGCGGGATGGCTAGCAGGGAGGCTCTGGTCCTCCTGCTGCCCTCGGCGGGCGCCCAGGAAGAACAACGAACTTGGCCAGGCCCCAGAGCAAGCTCCGGCCCAGCTTTCCCTCCAACAGCAGGTCCATGGGTGGCAGTGGGATCCCACCTGGGCTCCTTCATCCTGGGGCTGTAATTGGGGGAGGGGACCCTGGTGATTCGGGGAGTGGCATTTTTGTCTTTGAGCTGCAAACTAACCATGCAGGGCATGGCTGGGTAAAAACCCACCACCCTCCCCAGGGTATGGACCCTATCCTGTGATGGGTAAGGAAACTGGGGCTCAGAGGTTATATCTCTTTCCTCCCAGGGTACCCCTCCAGCAAGGGGCAGATGTGAGGCCTGTCTGACCCCACTCCCCCTGCCTCCTGGCCCCCGCCCAGCCAGCCCTGTGCTTAATTCCAGCAATAGTCATGGGGTGGGGGTGGGGCGGGCACCATGGCCTTCCCGGCCCATGTCTGCCTGACCGTCTGTGTCCTTCCTCTCCACAGGGAACTTCCAATGGATTGGGATCCATAGATGACATCGAAACAGGTAGTGTCCCTGATTTGAGGGCACAGGGCAGAGATGGGTCCCCAGGGAGGGCTCAGCCTGAGGGCTGAGGGCTCCCTGCCCTAGGAACTCCCTGAAGCATGAAAGAAAATAGCGGGCCTAGGAAACCAGACTCCCTCTCAGGGAGGAGAAGGTGGGGGTCAGCCACACAGTAGGGTAGCGCTGATCTTGTGTCCTCCGCCCCAGGCCAGCTCCTCCCCCAACTGGGAGTCCCCTTCTCTTCCTCACTGGCTTAACAAGTGTCCCTTAGAGAAGGCATTGCTTCTCCCCAGGTAAGATGTTCAGGCACTGAGCCAGGTCCATTCGAGAGATATCATAGGACTGAGGGACCCTCTCCTGCTCTGCAGTGACCTTCCTTCACTGTGACTGAGCCTCCAGCCATGGAGTCAGGCTCGCGGGGCAGACAGGGTTCCTGACAGGAGCTAGGGAAAGGAGGGAAGGTGTTGCGTGAGGATCTTAGGGCCCTGGAACACCTCCCCCCACCACCAAGCGGGATCCCCTGTGGCTACTGATCCCACTCTCCCATCCACAGACTGCTACGTGGACCTGCGAGGCTCCCCAGCCCCGCTACCCTCTCCTCCCACGATGCCCCTGTTCCCTCATGTTCTGGACCTGCTGGCCCCCCTGGACAGCAGCAACAGGGCCCTCCCTGGCACTGAGAGCCTGGACGACTTCTCTGACGGGGATGTCTTTGGGCCGGAGCTGGACACCCTACTGGACTCACTGGTGAGCCGTATTGCCACCCTTCTGCTCCCCTGAACCCCTCTCCCGCCCAGGACCCCCAGCGCGTTCATCCTCCTGTCCCACAAGGTATGGAGGGAGGGTCCCATCTCCATATCACAGTTGGAGAAACTGAGGCCCAAGGAGGGAAAGGGACCTACTTGGGGTACAAACACACAGCCAGAGGGACCATGAAGATCCCTGGCTCCGCTCACGGGACAGGTCAGGGCTGAGGCACAGAGGGGTTGGCTGGCCTGCGGCCTGCAGCGCCTGCCTCTGCCCAGGCCGCCATGGTCAAGTTCTCCTCCAACCCCGCCTTCTGTTCTCCACCTCACAGTCTCTGGTCCAGGGTGGCCTGCCTGGCAGCGGTGTGCCCAGCGAGTTGCCCCAGCTGATCCCAGTGTTCCCTGGTGGGACCCCATTACTACCACCTGTAGTGGGTGGCTCCATCCCCGTCTCCAGCCCACTGCCCCCGGCCTCCTTTGGTCTCGTCATGGACCCCTCCAAGAAGCTGGCCGCCTCTGTGCTGGATGCCCTCGACCCCCCAGGCTCGGCACTGGACTCCCTCGACTTGCTGCCATACTCGGATACGCGGTTGGATGCCCTCGACAGCTTTGGGTCGACCCGTGGTGCCCTGGACAAGCCCAGCTCCTTTGTGGGTGAGGCCTGGTTGGGCACGTTCACGCCCACCCCCTTGAGGGTTTTCGACGTACCACTGCAGCTCCAGTCAGTCTCTGGGGAGTGGAGTTGGGATTACAGCTCTATTCAGCCAAGGTCCAGGTCCTCTCTCCCCATCGTGGTCCAGGGCCACCACCTCTGAGTTACTGTGTCTTCTGCAGTGCTCAGCACAGTGTAGGGCTGAGACCTGAGGGGTTGGGTGTCTTGTTCAAGATCAAACAGCAGAGCTGGGATAGTCCAGAACTTTGGACTTGCAGTATGGTGCTCTCTGCCCAGCCTTCTGGGGCCCTGGGGTCGCCAGGCTGGTAGGATCCCATGGGGATGATCCTGAGGCTGGGGAAAAGGGTGCCAGGCCATAAGCTCCTTCGGCACCACCCTGAGCCAGGCACCAGGGACCCAGAGAGGAAGCAGACCTGTCAGGGCCCTTGCAGGACCAGCTTTCAGACAGTTGGACCTAGCTAGCCCAGGGTGCTCATGGCTCAGGGGGATTCTGCAGGAGCACCGGTGTGCTTCACTCAGCCCTGGAGCCAAAGGGAGACTTCCTGGAGGAGCTGATGGCTGAGGGAGGTCTTAAAGGCGAAGGTCCTCTGCTGGTGGGGGGAGCAGGATGACACAGGCTTGCATGACAGAGGGACTGGCTGATGCGCAGAGTCATCAGCCAGAGGGGAGGGTGGGTTGGGGGCCTTGAAGACCTGAAGCCAGTGTCAGTGATCTTTGAGTCACACTGAGAGCTTGGGCTTTCTTCCAGGGACAGTGGGGGCTACGGCTGGTGTAAGGCCAGGGTGCACATGCTCAGGCTGGGACATCGCTCTGTCCCTGGGCAGAGGCCTTGAGGGTAGAGGCAGGGGATCAGCATGAACAGTAGAGGATGTATGGCCTGGGTGGTTTCTTCAAGTTACAAATGCGTACAAGGAAGTCCTCAGAGGACTTCTCACCCCTTCCGAGCAGGGCAGGTGACCCCTGTGTCTTCTTGCCCAGAGGAAACCAACTCACAGGACCATCGTCCCCCAAGTGGTACTCAGAAACCAGCCCCCTCGGTGAGTACTTGGCGCAGATCCGTGACTAGGTACCATGTGCCCTCTCGGGGGTGGAAGGGAAGTGGTTGTGGGCTCCAGAGTGGAAGTGAGCCTTCTGCATGGGATGAAGTGCTGCATCCCCCAAGGAGAGGCCCCCTCAGAGTGGATGGGCCAGAGATGGTCTCTCCCCAGCCCTTCCAAACTGAGCCACGTGCTGGGAGGGTGAGCTGAGGGCACGGCCCAACCCTTGTCTGACAGAAGAGGACATTGAGGCTCAGAGGGGTTAAGCAACTTCTCCAGGGTTAGTAACATCCCTGTTCTCGGGACTCAGCCAGGTTCTGAGTTTAGGAGAGCCCTTGGGCAGGCTGCCGCTCTGCACTCTGCACTCTGGCCTCCAGTCTAGACACTAGCTTTGTGGCCCTGGGGAAGTAACCTAACCTCTCTGAGTCTTGCCTTTTTCCCCATCTGCTGATGCCTTGGAAGCTTGGGAGATAGAGGCTGGGAGTGGGGAGGACATGTGCATGGCCCCAATTGGGGCCATTCCTGTTTCTCTGCTTTCATGTTGGGCTTTTGCTCAAGGGAAGGTTCTGGGCCAAGGTCACTGTCAGCCATGCACCCCCACTAGGCTGGTTCAATCCCAGTGTTACAGATTCTTGGATCATGTTGTAAGGAATTCCCTGGCCAGGAGGGTAGGAGGAAGGGGAGGGTGCTGGGCTACAGTTCTGCTCTTGGGTAGAATGGGGGGGTCACAGAGCCCCCCAGCCTCTGGTGCCCAGGCTGGCTCTGGTGGCTCCAGCCAGGGTCCAGTGCCCAAGACGGCCAACCTCCTCCCATCACAGCCAGAGCCCTCCATGCCCAACACCGCCTTGCTCATCAAGAACCCCTTGGCTGCCACCCATGAGTTCAAGCAGGCCTGCCAGCTCTGCTACCCCAAAACAGGTAATGTCACGCCTTTATGTTCCTCTGCCCTCTGCCCAGAGATACTGGGAATCCAAGAGTATAGCCTCCCAGGATAACAGAACCCTAATGTACCGGTCAGAGATAAGTGTGGGAAAACAGGAGCCCCTCCAGGTATTTTGAGCAGGTGAGGAGTTGGGGGAAGGTGCAGAACGTGGGGGTTTGGGGCTTTCAAAATTGCCAGAGAGGCCAGAGGAGCAGAAGCTGGGAGTGTCCCCTGGCCTCTAGGCTGCTTTTCCACAAGCCAGGGACCCCTCTCACACAGGGGTCGGGGCTGCTGGACCCTCCGGCCTGTATCACAGCCGCTCACAGCCCAGAGGCTGGTGCTTAGCCATGGAGTGGCGTCCAGCTAGCTGCTGCAGGAACACATTCGCCAGAGGAAACGCAGCCCACACATCGTGCCAACTCCACCTCACAGTCCGCTTCTCCCATGAGTGCATCTCCCTGGGTGAACGCAAACCTGCCCTGGAACCCAGCTGGCAAAGGAGTCTGGGAAATGTAGTTCCTAGATTCCCAGCCCCCAAATCCAAGGGAGGTGACAGAAGCAGTTCAGAATGATGCCCAAAGCTGGGAGACAGTTTTCATCACCCTGGAATCTCAGAATTCTAGTCTAAGACTCATTTGCCAGAATCCCTGAAGTTTTAGTGTGATATTGTCTTGGGATGCCAGGGTTAAAAATCTTAGCAGTCTAAAGAATTCTCCATCTTAGGGGTATTAGGGTTGACAGGACCTTAGTGGTTGTCTAGTTGTTGTTGTCCACACACTGCAGGACCACCCCCTTCATCCCCCGGCCACATGCATGTCACCCCTGAGAGTCATCCTACCAGAGCGCCCATGGACTTGTGGGGGCGGGGAGCAGGGCGCCATCCTGTTGGATGGCTGTACCCATGATGAAGTTCTTCCTCACGGACCTCAGACTGCCTCCCCAGTCCACACACCCGCTGCCTCTAACAGCCCGTGAACTGCTGTGCAGCTGGTGCTGGCCCAGCCAGGTCACACGGGGTCCCCACGGGGCTATTTCCCCATCGTCAGCGGGGAGGAGGCCCTGGGTCAGAGCCTTGGCAGGAGCAGGTACGAGAGGGTGGATCTGAGCAGCGCCCTTCCAGGCAGGATAAGAAAGGGGCGGGCCTGCTCTCTGCCAGGCTCTGTCTTCCTCATTCCTTCTAGGGAAACACTGAAATGTCTGGAGAGTCAGAGTGGTGATGGAAGGGGGGTAGGTGCCTAGAAGGGGGTCTCTGGAGGGTCCCCCTGTCTCTAGGGAGTACTTGGCTGGGAAGGGTGTGGTATGGGCTGGTGGGAGGCCCAGCTGATGGAGGTAGGTTTTTAGGCAGGGGTCCAAGGCCCACTGCTCAGGCCCATCAGCGGTCACCCTTCAGTCCTCCACCTGAAATCTGTCTCTCTCCACATGTCCACACAGGGCCCAGGGCGGGCGATTACACCTACCGTGAGGGCCTCGAGCACAAGTGCAAGAGGGACATCCTGCTCGGCCGGCTCCGGAGCTCTGAGGACCAGACCTGGAAGCGGATCCGGCCCCGGCCCACCAAGACCAGCTTTGTGGGCTCCTACTACCTGTGCAAAGGTGGGTGGGCTACGGCGGGGGGCAGGCAGTGTGGCTAGGGCCTAGCTCGGCTCACACTCAGCTGTGGTTCTGCTCCTCATCACCGGTAGATGAGGGTGGACATTCGAGGATGAATCCCACAGCAGAATGAGCATCTGGCTCCTGTCCTGACAGCTCCACAGACGGGGGGGATATTCGGGATGTTCCATTCCAGCTAAAGCCCCTGCTGAGCGTGAGGTTCAGGCGGTTCGCGGGGGTCCCGAAGGGCTGTGGGAAAGGTGTGGGGAGAATCCATGTAAAACACGTAGGACTAGTACATAGTATAGTAAAGGGCTTGATAAATATTAGCTTTTATTTTTTTTTATTTATTTTTATTTTTTAAAGATTTTATTTATTTATTTGAGAGAGAGAGAGAGCACATGAGAGGGGGGAGGGTCAGAGGGAGAAGCAGGCTCCCCGCCGAGCAGGGAGCCCGATGCGGGACTCGATCCAGGGACTCCAGGATCATGACCTGAGCCGAAGGCAGTCGCTTAACCAACTGAGCCACCCAGGCGCCCTAAATATTAGCTTTTAAATGTTATTATGTCATTGTTGTCCCCACTTCTGGCTCACGTCGACGTGGCCAGTATTTAACGGACATTTGTCGCGTACCTTGCTTGCCAGCTTCGATTCCCCAAGCAAGCAGTCTTCATGACTATACAGTCACGACATCGTTAAGCGCTGTATAGTGTTGCCCTTCTGTCCCCACTGTCACGCATCCTCACAACTCCAGACTAGGACATTGAGGCTTCGGGGGGCTCCGCCTTTGTCCCCCAACCCAGCCGATGGCAGTAGCCCCAGGCTGTCTGGACCAGTTCGCTGTCCTCCCAGCAGGATCTTAAGGACATGTGGCTTCTGGGCTTGAAGGCCTCAGTCAGCTCTCCCCTGGCCAGTGTAGATGAAGTCCAAATTCTGTGAGGCTTACATGTCCCCTGTCTGCCCTAACCACTCCCCAAATACCCAGAACCCAGACTCCTTTGCATGCTCTTTTGAACTTGATCAAGCGGCGCCCGGATCTTGGGAAGCCATTCCCTAGAGGGCTCCTGCTGGGGTCCAGCACAGAGCAGTTAGTGGTGATCACCTGCACATCGGCTCCCTTGTCCTTGTGCGCCTGCAGCCCGGCAGAAGGATGGGGCAGGGCAGACAGAGTGTGCGCAGGAAAGAGAAAGAAAAACCGTTTCCACCACGAGGAGATGGCAGGGCTCCGGGTTGTGAGCCTGCCACCCTCCCAAATCCCTGGTCCCCCCCTGGTTTTTGTTTTAAAGTAGGTTCCACGGGCGCCTGGGTGGCTCAGTCGTTAAGTGTCTGCCTTCAGCTTAGGTCATGATCCCAGGGTCCTGGGATCAAGCCCCACATCACCCGCTGAGCAGGAAGCCTGCTTCTTCCTCTCCCACTCCCTCTGCTTGGGTTCCCTCTCTCGCTGTGTCTCTCTCTCTGTCAAATAAATAAATAATCTTTAATAAATAAATAAATAAATAAAGTAGGTTCCACACCTAATATGGGGTTTGGACTTGCAGCCCGGAGATCAGGAGTTGCCTGCTCTACCGACTGAGCCAACCAGGCGCCGCTGGTCCCCAGGGGTTTTATTTATTATTTCACTTAATCCCCACAACAACCCAGTGTTCTCTGTTTATGGGACAGACAGCTGAGGAATAACAGGGAATCCCAGCCCAAGTCTGCTGGATTCCAAGGCCCAGGCCCTTAACCAATGGTATTTTCCTGGTGAATAATGAGAATAAAACCCCTTGTGTTTATTTAGAGGCTTATATTCATCTACAAAGCACTTTGTCCTACCTCTCATCCTGCCCGACCCACATAAGGCGGCTCTGTGGGATGGTAGGGTGGGATGACCGCATGCTTTGTAGATGGAAAAGGCAGGTGCTCCCCCCAACACAGGTATAGAGCGAAGAAGGGACCTGGCCTGGGAAGGGCTTTCCCCAGCTCGGCCACTCGGCCCCTCCTGAGTCCTGAGCAACAGGCCACCACCCGCCACGGTGGCAATGAGCCTGAGTCCCTCCTGCTGCAGCGGAGGTCCTGGGGACTCTGTGGGCTGCCGTCCCGCCTGGCAGAACGTGTGTCCTGTTGCCTCTTTGCAGACATGATTAACAAGCAGGACTGTAAGTACGGGGATAACTGCACCTTCGCCTACCATCAGGAGGAGATCGACGTGTGGACAGAGGAGCGGAAAGGCACCCTCAACCGCGACCTGCTCTTTGACCCGCTGGGGGGCGTCAAGCGTGGCAGCCTCACCATCGCCAAGCTCCTTAAGGAGCACCAGGGCATCTTCACTTTCCTCTGTGAGGTACCCGCGCACCCGCCCCACTCGCCTGCCACCCTCCAGTCGATGGCACAGATGGGGCTGGGGGAGGGGCTCCCTGGCGTGCTCCATTATCAAATGTCAGTCCTGGCACCTGGGGGTTTGGGAGGCCTGACTTTAGAATCAGTAGGTCCTTGGACTACCAGAAAGGCCCACAGGACCCTATCTTGCCAAAGAAAAGAGAGATAATCATACCCACTCTTTCCAGATGGCCATCAGAGGCCAGGCTTGGCGCCAGGCGCTGGAGGTACTCATCCTCCCCGCACCTCCTTGTCTAGCTGTGCGGGCTCCGGTGCCCGTTACACCTTCCTGCCCACTTCCCTGCCTGTATCCAGGCCGTCCCCTCTCCCTGGAGCGCCCTCCCTGTATTTCTGCATCTTGGACCCTCTGAGGCTCAGCTCGGATCCCAGCAGCTCTACCAAGTTGTCATTAATTCCTTCCCTGGAGCTGCCACAGCAGACCCTGCTGGCCCCCTGCTTCCCTGCCTGGTCAGAGCATGATGAGGGCAGTGACAGTGTCGGGCCCATCTCCGCGGAGCTGGAGCTCTGGATCCAGGTTGCTGGCAGGGTTGGTGCAGCTCAGCCCAAACATGACCCAGTGCACAGCCAGGAGCTGCGTGGACTTTACAAAGCACTTGCAGTTCTGTCATGTCCTTTCTGAGCTTCACAGTGAGCCTGTGGGACGGCAGGCATGGTCACCCCAGTTTCCAGAGGCTTGGAGTTACCCCCTGCTCCAGGCATCTGGACCACAGAGAGCCACAGCCCAGGTTATCTGGGAGCTAGAGCCAGAGAGTGGGGGCCATAGAGCCCGGGGTGCCCTTTCTCACTCCCCTGACTCAGAGCAGGGCTGGCAGGGACCCAGTCTGCCCCTCCCTGGGTGGCCATGCTGGGTCCCAGCCCATCCCCTCCCTGGGCAGATCTGCTTTGACAGTAAGCCCCGGATCATCAGCAAAGGCACCAAGGACTCCCCGTCTGTCTGCTCCAACCTGGCTGCCAAGCACAGCTTTTACAACAACAAGTGAGTAGGACCCACGGCCTGGGCCTGGGAGCGGGGGCGCACAGAGAGCTGGGGTGGTTCAGATCCCTGGGGAGCAGCTGAAGCCAGGGGGTGGACCCTCGGGTGTCAAGGCAAGGGGCAGAATTTAGGGCTCAGATCCAGCATCTACTGGAAAGATTGGAACCACATTTATCGAGATCTGTATTCCAAGCATTCTCTCGGGTATCTTAACGATCTCCACAGTCCTGTAAGGGGGGAGTTACAGTCTCTGTTGTACTGATGAGGCTTGGAAGTAGCTCACTCAACAGGCACGTGGGAGGCCACATCTCTGACTCCCATCTGGTGCCCCCCACTGTCATGACATTGAGTGGGAGGGCTTGTGTCAGTCCTGGCACCCACCTTTGCTCCCTCTGACTGCCCTTGGCTCCGCCCCCACATGGATGATAGAGCCCAGGCCCTGAGTCAGACAAACCTGGGTCCACATCCCAGCCTGGTCAATGCCTGTTTTATGTCCTGTGGCCCTTGGTTTCCCTGTCTGTGAAGTTGATGATGATCCCAATCTCCTAGGGTTGCTGTGAGCATCATTAAAATCCTGTCCCACAAATCTAATATATTTGACATGTGTTTTATCTTAACCACCAGACCATTCCTTCTGTAGCTCAGAAGAGCACCCCTTCCCCCCAGGGGCTCAAAATATCCTATCATCTTTGTGCTCTCCCTGCAGTTCTGTGGGTTCCATATTTTCCTCAGTCCCCTCCAAATCTAGCTGGATTGCAGAATTATGGTTTTGTGTTTTTTAAAGATTTATTTATTTGAGAGAGAGAGAGGGAGGGAGCATGAGCGGGAAGGACAGAGGGAGAGAGAATCTCAAGCAGACTCCACGCCCCACGCGGGACTCGATCCCACCACCCTGAGATCACAACCCGCAGAGTCAAGTTTATGATTATGAAATACGAACTAAAGAACAACAACAAATAATAAAATAAAATAAAATTGCTGTCCCAGAGGAGATGCTCGATTGCTGTTTCTCTGGATGCAGGAGCAGCTCTGGAGCGTGAAGCTGGGGAACCTGCCCTTCTCGCGCCCGGGCCACTCCCTTCTCCCAGCCTCCTAGCAGGTGGGATCTGTGCCCTCCTGCTGGCAGCGCCCCCTTGGAGCTGGCCCTGGATTGAGGCCAGGGGAGGAGCATACAGCTGGGACGACCTGAGTGTAGGACCCCCACCTCTGGCCTACTGCGCTGTCCTGTTCTAGAAGCGTTTTAATAGGGCAGGAAGACCCAGGGCGAAGCCCCCCCACCCTTCAGGCTTGCGCAGTGCCGGGGAGAGCAGCCCCTCCCCGGCGGGAATGATGGAGGGGCGGGGGCTGCCGCCTGCATCGCGCGCCCCGCCCTCTGCCCGCCAGGTGCCTGGTGCACATCGTCCGCTCCACCTCCCTCAAGTACTCCAAGATCCGCCAGTTCCAGGAGCATTTCCAGTTCGACGTGTGCCGCCACGAGGTGCGTTACGGCTGCCTACGGGAAGACAGCTGCCACTTCGCCCACAGCTTTATCGAGCTCAAAGTCTGGCTGCTGCAGCAGTACTCAGGTGAGGGGGCGGGGCGGGGGCGGGGCCGGGGCGGGGCGGGGGCGGGGCGGAACTGGCTGAGGGTAGCTGGGCCAGCCCCTCGCAGGTGGCAGAGGGAGTTCAGAAGGGGCGGCTCCCGGGTCGCGGGGGCGGGGGGGCGCTCTGCAGGAGCCGGTGCCCCCGCGGAGACTTCACAGAGGACACAGGCTCTGCTCTCAGGGAGCTTCCAGGCTTGAAAGGTCCTAGGTTTATCCGTAGCCAGGCACTGCCAGGGGAACACACGTGGGAAGGGAGAGGAGGCAGAGCCGGGCTGCCTGGTTGGTCCCCAGCAGGTCACTTCCCCTAGCTGAGCCTCCATTTGCCCACCTGTGAACTGGTGATCGTAATCTCCACCGTCAGGGCGTCTGGGGGGCTCGGTCGGTTAGGTGTCTGCCTTCAGCTCAGGTCATGAGCCCAGGATCCTGGGATCGAGTCCCCGTCCAGGCCCTGCTCAGCAGGGAGTCTGCTGCTCCCTCTGCCCCTCCTCCCTGCTCGTTCTCTCTCTCTCTCTCAAAAATAAATTTTAAAAATCTTAAAAAAAAAATAATCTGCTCCTCAGAGCTGAGGAGATTAAAAGATACTCACTTACTCGTTCATCTAATAGGGTGATGAGTAAACCTGCTGTGTGTCAGGGGCCCGAGCAAGAACTCTGAGATCTATAAGTAAGGGCAAGGCAGACAGTGTAACAAGTAGGTAATAAATCCTGCTTTCCATCTGTTCTAGGACGCACGTTTCCCCCACTGCATGTTATACTGTAATTTAGCAGCGTTGTTTGGAATGTAACATAAAATAATGGTGCATCTAACAACTGATGTCTTCTTAGAGTTGATGAAATAGGGTTATGTAATTTCAGACGTGCTCGGTGCTGACAGGAAAGTAAGGCAGAGCAATAGGTTGGGGAGGGACTCAGGCTGGGGCATTTAGGATAAGATGGTCAGGGAGGGCCTCTGTGAGGAGGTGGCGTTTGAGCAAGGAAGGATAGGGAGAGCATGCCAGGCAGAGGGAAGAGCAAGGCTGGAGGCCTTGAGGCAAGAGCAAGCTTGGTATCAAAACGCTATCCCTGAAAGCAGAGCAGCTTAGTGCATGGCGGGAAGAGGGCCTGAGAGGTTGGTAGGGACCAGACTGTGTAGAAGTCTCTAGGTCGTACTTAGAGTCGGGACTGTTCCAAGTATGATGTGCAGGGTCTGGAGGGATTAAGTGGGTGGAGGTATATGATCTGATCAGTATTTTTTAAAAATCACTCTGGCTACTGGGTGGAGAATAGAGGAGTGAGGACAGACAGAGGGGGACCAGAGAAGGTGTGGCTCAGCCCAGGGTGACAGTGGCGGGGGTAGAAGGAGTGATCAGATTCTGGGGATATGTTGATGGTGGAGCCAGCAGGAGTTGTTGATGGACCAGATATGAAGTATGAGACAAAGGATGGCATCAAGGTCACCTACAAGGTTTTTGAGCAGAGTAACTGGGAGAATAGGGTTGCTGTGTTCTCAGAAGGGGAGGCTGTAGGAGGAGCAGGTTTGCGGGGGCGGGGGGCGTCCCATCAGGGCTCAGTGCGGGATGTGGGGAGTTTGAGCTGCCTCTTGGACTTCAAGTGACAATGTTGAGCAGGCAACCCGATGTGGAAGTCTGGAAGTCACAGGTGAGGTCTGGACTGGTGATCTGTATTTGGGAATCCTTAGCAAGAAAATGGGTGTCAAACATAGTGCCTGGCCCAGAGTAAGCCCCCAGTGACAAGTGGTCACGTAGAACAGTATCTATAGGACAAGGTCGAAAGGAAATCAGTCTGAGAAAGGGGCTGGAGAAGATGGGAGAGGTTCCAAGCTGTACCTCAGAGGGTGGGTTCCGCAGTCAGCAGTCAGACTGGGAAGGTCTGGGCCACCAGGTTCTGCCCCTTTGCTAACCTGCAGTGAAGAGCAGCGGCCCCTCAGTGAGCTAGTGAGCCAGGCTGGGCCAGGCCCTGAGCCCTAAGAACAGTGGGCCAGGGACTGCCAAGCAGCATTCAGGCCTGAGACCCCACTGGAAGAGGTGGGGGTTAAGGAAGGGTGCTGAGCAGCCAGGGGGACCTTAGCATGAGGGCAGGGGAGTCACCATGCCATGCTGCAGGGCCAAGACCTTTCTCCTGCATTTCCCCACTCTTGGCTGCATTTGATTCTCCTACTCCCTGTGAGGGCTTGGAGCAGGTCCTCCATTCCCAATTGCAGATGCAAAGAGACCCAGAGAAGACCCAGCTTTCCCTACTCCCCATGTCTTTCTGTGGCAGGGCCTGGCTGGGAAATGGGGCTCCTTCGCCTGGGCCTGGGTGGCACCTTGCAGATCCCCTGCCTCTCTCCTCGCTGAGCTCCTTCACAGATGCCTGTGTCTGGTCCCACCCTCCACAGGCATGACCCACGAAGACATCGTCCAGGAATCCAAGAAGTACTGGCAGCAGATGGAGGCCCATGCAGGGAAGGCCAGCAGCGGCTTGGTGAGGACCTGGATTGGTGTTGGGGGTGGGACCAGGTCCCCGAGGGCCATTCCCCATCCCTTTAATGGAATCTGATTTCAGACTTACCAGAAAATTATCAGAATAGTACAAAGAATTCATATATACCCGTTTCTGGATTCCCCGGATAGTAACCATTTTACCACGTTCCACACTTGCTTCGTCCTGTGTGTGTGTGTGTGTACGTCCACACATAGACATTTATATACAATTATATACATAGCTTCTTCTGAACCATTTGAGAGTAAGTTGTAGACATGATGCCATATCACCCCTAAATACTTCGCTGTTTCCTAAAAATAAGGACTCTGTCTTACATAATAACCACAGGACAATTATCAGCACCACAGAACTAACATTGGGGTAATTTTTCAGATTATGGTGTCCTATACTTAGATTTTGTGCATCATCCCCAAATCCCAAGTGATGCTGCATTCATTTGTTGTGTCTGTCTACTCTCTCTCTTTGTTTTTTAAGATTTTATTTATTTGAGAAAGAGAAAGGGACAGAGAGAGCACAGGTGGGGAGGGGGCAGAGGGAGAAGGAGAAGCAGGTTCCCCACTGAGCAGGGAACCCGACTCGGGACTCAATCCCAGGACCCTGAGATCATGACCTGAGCTGAAGGCAGATGCTTAACGGACTAAGCCACCCAGGCGCCCCTATCTAGTCTCTTTTAATCTAGAGCAATCCCCCAGTCTTTCTTGTCTTGCATGACATTGATGGTTTTGGAAGGCAGCTGTCTTGTGAAAGGCCCATCCATTTGGGATTGTCTGATGGTTCCTCAAATCGCAGAGGTGCTGTTGTGTTCTCCGTTCACTCATCTGGATGCACGTCATCTCAATGTGTCCCTTTACTGGTGATCACGTGGTTAGAGGCGCCCCCACTGTAAAGGTTTCTCTACCGTGAAGTTATGTTTTTCCCCCTTTGTAATGAAGAAGTATCTTCCGGGGAGGGTCCTTGAGACCGTGTGAGTATTCTGGTATTCCTTCCCACTGGTCGTATCGTCTCCCATCCGTCCCAATCCTCACCCTGCTCCTGAAGAAGTGAGCTGTGGCACTGTGGCATTTGCAGATGGGGAAACTGAGTCTCAGACATGCTTGAGACTAAGCCAGGGGCACACTTAGTGGAGTAAATGCCTGGTTCTCTGACATCTTGTCCAGAGCTCGCTCTGCTCCCCCACCACCCGGCCCCATTCCTGCCACCCCTGAGGATTGCTCACCCATAAAATGGGGATCATAATCCTGCCTGCCATCTCCCAGGGAGGGCGTGAGGGTCACAGAAGCTGACCAGGCTGCAGCTTGCCGAGTCTCTGCTCTGCACTGGGCCCCGTGCCTTCCCCAATCCTCATATCCTCCTCCCTGAGAGGTAGGGACCATTATAGCCCAGGGTGACAGTGGGGACAGAAGGGGTGGTCTCAGGCCTAAGAGATAGTGTGAGGTAAGACCTCTGTGCCATCCACACATGAGGGATGACACCCTCCCCAGGCCAGGACCACCCACTGGTCGCTTTGGGAGAAGGCTGGGCCCCTGGCCCCTCCTGAGGCCAGTGTGGGGATGGGAGTGAGCCAGGGAGCAGGGCAGGCTGTCCCACAGGGCTGCCTGGTCCCCTTGGGACTTCCCCCTCCCTGTCCCTAGCCCGTCTTTCTGCTCCTTTTTCTTTCTCTCCCCGCTTCCTGGTTGTCCCCCTCCTCTGTCCCTTCCTGTGCTATCCTCTTCTCTCTTCCCCCTCTCTGCCATGTGGTTTGTTTCTTGTTCCTGGCCAGGATCCCAGCTGGAACGCAGTGAGGGGCTTGGGTTGGACCTGCAGTGTTACCCTCTAAGAGAACTCTGAGTCCTCACCACCTCCTACCCCTTCTTCCTCCTCACGGCTGCTCCCAGGGTCCCCGGATGCCACGACAGGCTTCCACCTCCTCTTGCTACCAGGGGCCCCACGCGGCCCACCCAAGATGCCACCCTTGGGCCTGGCTCGGGAACAGGGCTTCTGTGCCAGGCCTGGCTGCGACCAGGGCATGAGGCGTCTTGCTTGCTTGCCATCAGAGGGCGGGTCGGCAGCACTGGGAGGCCGACGGTGAGGTGCCAGGGTAGAAGCTGCTCGGGCTCAGTGCCCATGGCTCCGCAGCTGTGCCATCCCACAAATGAGCATGCCTCTCTCCAGACTCCTGTCCTCAGGCCACTTAGCCGGGGCTGGATTAGTAACCTCTCTGAGCCTCTGCTTCTATCGGTCTAGTGGGAATGAGCCCCCCACCCCCACCCCCACCCCCCAGGGCTGCAGCAAGGACTTGGTGAGGCTGTACAGTTGTGAAAAGGGAAGTTCAGTGAACCGGCATGGCTCTTCATTAGAGCTGTCTCCACTTACCTCACCTGTGAAATGGGTCCCCTCGGGCTTCTGTGAGAATCTGGTGGAACACCTGGAAATCAGGAGTGATGTGGAGAACCTCCTGCCCGCTCTTAGCACAGGCCATGCCCCAGTTACAAAGGTCTGCTTTTACCTTGTCCCTGAGGTGACGTGGAAGTCATCCTGGGGCCGAGCCAGGCTGCGAGTCGTCCAGCACCAGGCCAGGGGTCAGTGAACACACGTGGACAGAACCCCTTCCTGCTCAAGGACGGGCCCTGGGCTAGGTAGTGCCAGGCACACAGGGTGCTCCCTTGGTAGGGGACATGTACCCTCCTCCAGCCTGGAGGAGAGAGAGCTGCCTGGAGGGGTGACCCCACGTCTGAGGCTCCAGGGAGGACAGGGAGGCTCTAGGTAACAGGAGAGTCAGTAGGTGAGCCAACAGAGCTGGGTGAGGGGCGTGAAAGGGGCAGAAGACAAGGTTGCGTGGGCATTTTTCCCACCTTTCACCCCCCACCCCATCCCAGGGGTCCCAGGGGTGAGGAGAGCAAGCCCTCCTGCCTGCAAAGGAAAGGCTAGAGCAGAGGATGGGGGATGAACCTGGTGGGGCCTTAGGGGGTCCAGGGCTGCCCAGAAGTCTGTGCCACCCCCCAGAGCAGCCTCCTGTGCAAGTGGCTTCCCACCTGGGCCCTGCTGTCCACCCGGCCCAGGCCTCATAACGAGCTGAGCTGATCAACATGACGGCGTTCAGGTACTATGGGAGCTCCTAGAATGGGCGGCTACCACTTAGGAGAGCTCCAGGGAAGGCTTCCTAAAGGAGGCGGTGCTCGAGCTGAGTCTTGAAAGTTTCCAGAATCAGCCTGACGAAGTACAGAGCAAAGGCATTCCAGGCAGAGGGACAGCATGTGCAAAAGCCTGCCATGCTCAGGGAAACGGCAGTGGTTCCAGAGAGCAGGCCCGTGGGGACTCGCCAGACAAGGCAGAGAGTAGTCGATGGGGAATCCGGGCCCCCTCCCGGGCCTGGCTCCCACACTGAGAGGCTGGGGGGCCTAGCGTGGGGAGGTCACTTCCCTCTGGCAAGTGGTAACGGGCTGGCTCGTTCTGAGGCTCTGGGTGGCCCTCACACTCCTGGAGGGGCCACCTGCGTGACAGACCCCAGGCCTCAGCCCTGATGCCTTTGGATTCACCAGCCCCTTTCGCCAGCAGGGCGCCCCTCGGACACATGGGCCCAGCACCTTCGACCTGCAGATGAAATTTGTGTGTGGCCAGTGCTGGAGGAACGGGCAGGTGGTAGAGCCTGACAAAGACCTCAAGTACTGCAGCGCCAAGGCCCGGCACTGGTGAGCCAGGCGCCCCGCTGGGGGGTGGGGGGCCCACCCGAGCCACACGAGTAAGGAGGCCAGGCCTCTTCCCCGGGCCTCTCCCCAGCAAATCCCCCTCTGTCCCCACCCCCAGCTGGACCAAGGAGCGGCGGGTCCTTCTGGTGATGTCAAAGGCCAAGAGGAAATGGGTGTCTGTGAGGCCCCTGCCTTCCATTCGCAACTTCCCACAGCAATACGATGTGAGCGCCGGGAGTGGGGTGCAGGGTGGCGGTGGGAGCTCAGGTGTGAGGGCTGAGGGGCCCTAGGAGGGCTTGCCTGCCGGCTGGGGCCGTGACAGTCTCCAGCGGGACTCAGCTGGCTCTCCCCACACCCACCCTGTAGCTCTGCATCCATGCGCAGAACGGCCGAAAGTGCCAGTACGTGGGGAACTGCTCCTTCGCACACAGCCCGGAGGAGAGGGACATGTGGACGTTCATGAAGGAGAACAAGAGTGAGTGCAGGAGTGGGCCCAGCACCCCCGCCCTGCCAGACACCACCCCCCCCCCCCCACCATCAGCAGGCCCAAGAGCACCTGCTCGCTCTCCCTTTGCCACCCCAGACGGGACCCTCTCAGCGTCTTCCATCGCTGACCTGGCAGCCCGACAGCAAGGCCTGGGGTGGCCCCAGCTCCCATGTCCGGGGGCGGGGGCCAGGGGGCAGAACGGAGGGAGGACCCCCCCCACCGAGCACCCTGTCCTCTCCTTCCCACCAGTCCTGGACATGCAGCAGACCTATGACATGTGGCTGAAGAAACACAACCCGGGGAAGCCAGGGGAAGGGACCCCAATCAGTTCTCGGGAAGGGGAGAAGCAGATCCAGATGCCCACGGACTACGCCGACATCATGGTAGCGGCCTCGCTCGCGCTGGGGCCCGGGTGGGAGGCTGATCTGGGAGGGCGTGCGGAGGGCCCGGCCTCGCTGGGGAACGTCGGGGCCGGGGTGCGAGGACTGGGCACCCATGGCGCTGTGCCCCCAGATGGGCTACCACTGCTGGCTCTGCGGTAAAAACAGCAACAGCAAGAAGCAGTGGCAGCAACACATCCAGTCCGAGAAGCACAAGGAGAAGGTCTTCACGTCCGACAGCGACGCCAGCGGCTGGGCCTACCGCTTCCCCATGGGCGAGTTCCGGCTCTGCGACAGGTGCTCCCGGGGCGGGCTCGGCGGGCTCGGCGGGCAGCAGGGTGGGCCTGAGACGAGCCTGTGGCCAGCCCTGGCTCCCCTTGGCCCGGAGAGAACATGTGGAGGGGGGCGGTGTCCTAAAGCAGCTGCTCCTGGATGCCAGGAGCCTGGGGGCGGGCGGGCTCGGAACCGCGGACCCCCGCCGGCAGCCCTGGGGCAGGTCCTGGAGGAGGCTGGGACGGGCCCCCTTTCACCGGGACCGACGCTGCCCAGGCAGAGGCTTGTCTTGGGGGAGGTTAAGCAGCCGGCCCAAGGTCCGCAGCCCGTGGTGGAAAGGGCGTGGGGCTTGGGCAGTGAGCCTCCTGCTGCCCACAGGCTCCAGAAGGGCAAGGCCTGCCCAGATGGGGACAAGTGCCGCTGCGCTCACGGGCAGGAGGAGCTCACCGAGTGGCTGGACCGGCGCGAGGTGCTGAAGCAGAAGCTGGCCAAGGCCCGCAAGGATATGCTTCTCTGCCCGCGGGACGACGACTTTGGCAAATACAACTTCCTGCTGCAAGAGGATGGGAACACCACCGGTGCCGCCCCGGAAGCCCCTGTGGCCGCCGCTGTCACCGGGGAGTAGGGCCAGCTCTGGGCCTCGGGTGAAGTCCTAGGGTCGGGGCGGGGGTGGGGACAGAGGGCCTGATAGGAGGGCCAGGGCAGGCCAGGGCTGGGGGTGGGGGGCCGCCCTCCTCAGGCAGCCCCCGGCCCCCTGGGGCCCCATCCATCCTCTCTGCGCCCACCACCTGTGTGCATACCCAGGTGCACGTGCTGCAGCCCTGAGTGGTCCCAGGGTCCTCATCCTGCTGGAACCCCGGGCAGCTATCCCCCACCCCACCCCACCCCTGGCTCTCCTGGTTGGGGACGGAGGGGCCTGGCCGAACCCGTCCAGCTTCAGCCTACAGCTTTAACTTCTGTCTGGTCCTAAAGGGGGCCCAAAGCTCAGGGCTGGGGAGCCTGGGGTCCCCACTTGAATCTGCAGCGGGAGGGTCCTTCTCCCTGCCCCACCCTCACCCCACACCCACCTCCCCCAGGGGGCAGATCAGGACATAACAGAGGGCTGGAGGCCCCAATTAGCTTTAAAACACAGCCCCAGGATGGAGCTGGGAACACACTCCTGGTCGCTTGCCCTCTGGGGCCTCAGTTTCCCCTCCGGTTGGAAGAGTGGGAGGGGCTGGGCTAGATGATCTCTGGAGCCTCTCCAGTCAGGCCCCCAGCCTAGCCCTCTTCCTTGTGGGCCACCGAATGTAGACTGTAGGTGCTCAGAGTCCTTGGAGATGACTCAGCCTAAACGCCCTTATTGCAGACAGGGAGACTGAGGCCTGGAAGGGACGGGTGATCTGCCAGGGTCTCCAGCCCAAGCCACAAGGTAGAGCCAGGAGGCAAACTAGTCAAAAGGCTAAGGGCCAGTTGTCTGCTGGAGCCTCCGGGCTCTTGGCAGGAATAGGACAGTCTCTGAATCAGTGTGGCATCGGGGTCCCAGGCGGTGCCCCCTGTGGGCTGAAGAAGGGAGGCTCAGGCTCATGTCAGCACCGTGTAGAGGGACTGTCCCCTCCTGAGGATGGTTGTAGGGAGTGTAGCAGCATGTTACTTCCCACGCCCACTAGGGGTGGTGGTAATGGGCAGGGCACCCGTGGGCTCAGCTTCTGCAGGATGAACTGGAAGGAAGGGGAAGGGTGGGGGTCGGAATACAGAGGGAAGGGAGATGACCCTGGGCACCAGGGGTCACTCTAGGATCGGACACAGCCCCTTTCTTGGGGACCCAGCATGGCCCTCTTCCCCTTCTCCCCAGACCTAGACGTACAGTTGCCCCTGTCTGTCCTAGCCCTCTCTGATTCCCGGCCCTACCAGCTGCCTGGGACCTCAGCCGACCCCCAGCACCTGCCCCCAGCCACTAAGCCCTGCCCCATCCCTCTTGTCTGACCTGTCTGCGTGCACCCCCTCCTCTCCATCCCACCCCCTATGGGCACACCCAGCGTCCCCTGGTTTCCGAGACATTCCAGAATGTCCCACGCAGTTGGCACAAGGAGTGGGCCCCCCCCGGAAGAAACCTGGGACCACAGCTGGAGTCAGGGGTGGGGGTGAGACAGAGAGAATGGAATCCCCCTCATTTCTCCTCAAGCAAGGATCGATAGTGAGCGATGATGTGATTCTGGGCACCCCGGGCGCAGAGAACCCTGTTCCTCCTGCCGTCACTGCCCAGCCTTCCCCAGTAATCGTGGCATGCACCCTTTCCTCCCCCTGCCCCTCCCCCAGCAGGCTGGCAGCGTGGTGCCAGCGGCATGACTGGAGGGGAGGAGAGACCACACCCAAGGTGGAGGCCGTGGCTGTGAATGTGGATGACACTTGTTTTCCCCGATCCGTGGTGTTGCAGTCTGTCGTCACCAGCCTTGTTTTTAGTGTGTATATATGTCGCCCCCGTGATGCATATATACACAGGTATTAAATATATCGCTCTATATAATATTATATATGTGTGTGGTATCCAAGGAATCACTTCTAATGAGGGCTAAAGATAAAGAATTTGGCCAGAAAATGCAGCCATCCTGGTGTAATTAAGAGGGATTTTTCAGATGCAGGGACTTGGAGCTGTGGGTTGGAGGGGGTTTGGCAGTAGGGGCGGGAGCGGCCCTGCCTGGGCCCAGTTCCCAGAGCACTCCCGGCCTCACTGGGAGCAGTGGTGCTCCAGGAAAGGAAATGATTGGTGTTTGTCTCCCACCCAGACGAATAGGATCAGAGTCCAGATTTTTCTTCTTCAGCCTGTTATCCATCCAGGGGCCATTGAGATCTGGGGCTCCCTGGCCTGGCCAGAGCTGGATCCCCCACAGAGTTGGGCAGAGAGCAAGAGGCAGGGGGTGGGGGGACAGGAGTCCACTTTGAGTGATGAGAGTGATTATTTCAGTCGTGACCCCGACTGGGAGGCTTGGAGAGTTGAATCGGGGCCTGTGCCCCCTGCCAGCAGGCAGAGACTAGACTTCGAACATGGCGGGGGCAGGCGCCCCCGATGTGAGTGTCCCTTTGGGGTAGGGGAAAGAGGGATGCTGCATTTCTCAGCTGGGCAGTAATCAATTTAATGGTCCTTTTAAAATGTCTGTGTATTAAAAATTTAAGAATACCACACTTTAATATTAAATATTCATAAGGTCTAGTATCTTGATAATAATGTAGATGTTTTAATAACAATTTTTGTCCTTCTTAAAATAAAATGAAAGAAACTTGATTCTTTTAGCCTTTGTTCTAGAAAATAAACGTGTGCACTTTGACCTCTTTCCCCAAGGTGTCCTCCGGTTCCTCCCTGCCCGGTGCCTGGGGGCCTGGGCTGCTCCTTACCCGTGGGGCAGAGCTGCCTGGCGCTGGGCAGGCCTAAAGGTGAACATTCCGAGGGGTGAGGGGTGGAAGGTCTGTGTCCCTGTGTAAACAGGGCAACCCAGCTGACCCCAGCTCAGGCAGCACCTCGGCTGGCGGGGACAAGCTGTACTGTGTACAAGTGGGCCCAGCAGCACCCTTCACCCTGCTGCCACCTGCCTGCTCCCAGCGCTCCGCGTGGGGCCATCCAGAGGTACCCACCCCTCCCTGCTTCAATCAAGGGCACCGTCTTGAGTTCCAGAGGCCTGGCTCTATGCCCTTTCTGGGTGTGGCTTTTCCAGAAAAGTAAGGGGTCATGCCATGCTTCGGTATAGGATTCTGACTGCACCCCTGGACCCCTCTGGGCCCAGCTTCCTCATCTTTTAAAGGAGAGAGCATATTAGATTGGGGATTCTCGATCGGGGAAGCCCGTATCTGCTGGGGTTAGAGGTGCTTTTCCAAATCTCTTGCATCGTGCATGTTGCAGGTGATGGGGAATCCTGATGGGTGGGGCTATCCATGTTCAAGAACCAGCTCCCACCAGACTGCTTTCAGGAACAGGGGTCCAAGGCCTGTGAATTCTCCAAGGACAGAGTCATTTGGGCCAGATACGCAGAGGGGCTCAGGTGCTTGATAAATGACCAGATGAGTAAGAGAAACGGCCAACTTGACTGAGCACCTTCTGTGTACCAGGCACCGGATACGGCGTGTCTGTTCTCTACAACCACCCCACACGTTTGATGTCCACATCTTATAGACGTTCAGCAGAGGTTCCAAGGACCCTCAGAAAGGACACAGTAAAACAAGAACCACCGGGAACTGAGTGGTTGGCAAAGGTCCCTTCAGCACTGATGTTCTGGGGTTCTTGGCATCCCTGGCAACACCGTGAGAAACCAAAGCGGCATGGCAAGGTACCACTCCCGAAGGAAAAATGCAGACCCGTCCTCAGGCTGGAGAGATCAGGAACCTGCATCTGGACCTCCCTTAAACTCAGAAAAATCAAAGCAAGTAAGATAAGCAGGACCTCAATGGACCTGGTGGGCAAAATTCTCAAATTCTCTTCTGGTCCTCCTTCAGCTCAAGTTGCTAAACAGTCACTGAGCACCCACTCCATCTCAGGTCCTGGGAACATTGTTACTGAAGAAACGTGGCTTCCCTTGACCCCACAGTCCGCCAGGGGATACAGACCTACATGGGAGAGTGTAGGAAGGTCGGACAGGCACGGTGGTGGGAGGTGGGAGGTACTCCAGGTGCCAGATCCAGGGAGGGCTTCCTGGAGGAGGTGGAACTGGAATAGACTTAAAGAGATTGCTGTATCACTGTCATCGATGTGCCCTTACTGTCCTGCATCTTTCTTTTTCTCTCTGTTGTATTTCGCATGTGCGTCGCCAAGCCCCCATGTAAGCTAGGTATTTACCATCCGTGGCTGACACTTCATCCATCAAGGGGCCGGGACTGGTTTGAGCAGCCTCCGGTTCCTGAGCACATGTCCATTTCTGGTCTTCGCTCCTGTGGGTAAGGGCCGCAGTTGAGCCCCACCACCACCATGGAGCCCCAGCAGGCTCCTCCTCCCTGCCTCTGGGGAAGCTGCTGCTAAGGGGACCTGCAGGTGGGTGGGGGGAAGCTCTGCACCTCTCTAGAGAAAGCCCTTGAGGGCTCTGCCAGAAACTGCGTCCACATATATCCCCTATGGGGGAGCCATCTACAGCAGGCGTCCGACCTCTGAGCCTGGAAACCCAAGAAGTGCAGGCAGTCCCAACAGCGCCGCCTTGAGGCCCTTTCCAAAGGTCTCCAGGTTTCCCTGCAGCCTTCCCTCCCCATCTCTCCCCTCTCCAGCCGCTTGACCCAGCAACCCGCTGATGTGGTCCCTGTGTGACCATAGGTGACGCTGCCAACTGGACACCCCGGGTGCGGGGGAGGGGGAGGGTGCCACGTGGACTGACTTGCAGTGGCATGAAAATCCCCTAAGGGTAGGGACCTGCCTGGCCGGGTTTGTTACTTAACTTTGAATCCCTCACAAGGTCTAGGCTGGTGACGGGTAAGCAGTAAGCGCTCATTCACGGTCTTAGATGCTTAGTACATTGGTACATTGAAAGGGTTCAATGTACCAATGTACGCAGAGGGGCGCCTGGGTGGCTCAGTCGTTAAGCATCTGCCTTCGGCTCAGGTCATGATCCCAGGTCCTGGGATCGAGCCCCGCATCGGCTCCCTGCTCAATGGAGAGTCTGCTTCTCCCTCTCCCTCTCCTCCTCCCCCCGCTCGTGCTCTCTCGCGCGCGCTCCTTCGTTCTCTCAGATAAATAAATAAAACTTAAAAAAAACAAAAGAAAGAAAAGGTTCTGCAGAGAGTTCACCGGAATGGATCTCCGAGGATGAAATGTCATTCGGCAGGTGGGTGTTTCTGAGACATGTAGGGCATTTCCAGTTGTCTCTGGAGTCGTGCTCTGGGGGCACCTACCCACTCCACCTTTGTGGTAAGCCGGTCTAGCACATGAGGGGGTTCTTGGGCCAAGGAGTGGGTCAGTCAGCCCCAGCCTGCAAATCCCAGCTCAGCTTGAGGCAGCCAGGACAAGGCCCACCTCACCCTCACCGCCCAGTGTCTCAGAAGCAAAGGGCACTAGAAGGATAAATAAGAAACTAAATTTGTTTCTGAGGAAGAGGAATGGGGAGCAAGGACAGGAAGAGAAATCAAAAGTGCTGGGCCCCTGGGTGGCTCAGTTGGTTAGGCGACTGCCTTCGGCTCGGGTCATGATCCCGGAGTTCCTGGATCGAGTCCCGCACTGGGCTCCCTGCTCAGCGGGGAGTCTACTCCCTCTGACCCTACCCCCTCTTATGCTCTCTTGCTCTCTCTCCCTCAAATAAATAAAATCTTTAAAAAAAAAAAGAAAGAAATCAAAAGTGTTGAGCTTTGCACCATATGTTTTTTGTATTCAAACTTGAAATCAATTTGTAATTAATTGGGGGAAAGAGCATAGTTTGGGGAGGGCTCTTAGGGAAGAAGGGAGGGTAATTAGAGGACAGGCAGAGGGCCGTTGGGGAGGGGACAGGCCAGAGAGGTTCCTGGAGAATATTTGCTTCTGTGCAAAATAGAGTTTTGGAAAGCAGTGAAGAACTGCCTAGAAATTATCTACATGCAGGGAACCAAATGCTTACTGCATCCAATTTGGAGCGTCAGAGACATGGAACCAGAGCTGAAGGGAACTTTAGAGGTCACAACACTGAGGAGTTTGGGAACTGAGATCCAGAAGAGCCGTGTGGCTTGTTCAAGATCCCACATCAGTGTGGCAGAATCAAGAGCCTGACACCATCCCCCCACCCCCACCCCGCCAGCCAAGTCTGATGTCGGTCTTTGGTGGAGGGGGACATACAGAACCTTGGCTTTGACCACACCTTCAGGTGGCCTGGGGACCACAGAGGCCAATGTCCTGGAGAGAGAGCCAGAGAGCAAACAGCCAATTGCCACTGAGGTCTGCAGGACGGGCTGGGAAGCAGGTCATCACGCAAGACGAGTCTAAGCCAGGTTTGCAGAGCTGCTCCCTTTCAGGGGTGCCTGCTCTGCCTGCCCACCCGGGGCTGGTCTGCTGGGCCCCTGCCTCTCTTCCCCTCCCCAGAAAGCCAAAGGAATCCCAGGCTGCAGGTTTTCTCACTTCTTTCAGGAGAGCAGGCTTCAGACTCTGCAGATGGTGCAAATCCCCACTTACCCACCCCACATGCAAACCTGCCTGCAGGACACGCGTGCCTCGCATATAGGTATCGGAGTCGGAGTCGAGACAGGCCAACCACCCCTCCAGGCTCGCGAGCTGCAGGTGAACGCGTGAGGCCCCCTCCTGGGCGTGTGTGTGCGGACACAGAGGTTGTCCTTTGGGCTGAGCTGCCTGGGGCGCCAGGTCTCAGGTCCCGGCCCCCACTGATTTCCACGGCCCGCCCTCTGCTGCGCTGGGCCACCAGGCCCCCTCGGCCGAGTGTGCCTGAGTGTGCAGGGCACACTTGCTGTGGGCGTGGAGCATTCTCACTGTTCTCACCTGGCAGGCCCTGGTTATGGCTCCCGGCCTGGGGGAGAACTTCCCTTTGCAAAGTTAGGTAACAGGCCGGGCTCTCCGTGAGGGGATTGGCGCGGTGGCTCCACGTGCCGCGGCTGGCGCAGGGCCAGGCCCGCCCTGCCAGGCAGCGGGAAGGGAAGGCCTGGCTGCAGCCCGAGCTGGCGGGTGGCCGAGCCGGGGGTGGACGGGTGGGCCGGGGCCCCTACTGCCCATTGGCTGCCTCGGGCTCCCGCCCCGCCCGCCTCCAGAGCCTGCGGCTCCCGGGCCAGCTCCTGCATCTCGAGCAGCTTCTGAACTCCCCGAGCAAGCACCTCCTGCCGGGCCATGTCGAGCTGCGACCGGATTGGAGTGGCCCCTGCCATGGACATGCCTGAGGTCCTCAAGTCCCTGCTGGAGCACTCTCTGCCTTGGCCAGAGAAGAAGACAGGTAGGAACGGGGGTGGCCTGCGTTGGCTGGCTGCCCATGTGCCGGGGGTGGGGGGGGCGGGGGGGGGCGGGATGCGGTCACAGGCACAGTGGCAGGACGGGCATCTCCGAGCTGGGGAGGGTCCCCGGTCGGGGTCTGCCCCTGGCCCCTTCCTGGGCAGGAGGAGGGCTGGGTGCAGAGAGGGACACAGTGGGGAGCGCCACTGCAACTCAGGGGCCGCCTCCCAGGCCTGCTGGCTTTGGGAAGCTGCGGCCAGCGTGTGGCCACTGACAGGTGCGGTGCTCACGTGGGCCGAGGGCAGGACCAGAGCGCCCTGCTGAGAGAATGCACCGAACGCTGTTTATTAAGTTCCCTCCCTCTGCGTGTTGGGGTGGCTGCGGACTGGCAGCGACGGTCTCCTGTGCCTGGAGGAGAGCCTTCCCTCCTTCCTCCCTTCGCCTGCTTCAGCTCCCGCTCGCT